CTTTACAACAAATAAATTGTGTGTCAGAAGCAATGAAGGAAACTATACAATACAGTTACATGTAACATGGTTCAGCTTGTTTTTATACAGGCTATACAAATTTTCAAGTATTGTCTTAGAACCAGTCAGTCAGGGTAGGACATTTTTGCTTAACAATACCACTTTGTCACGCATTGCAAGCCGGTTTCAGATGACCACATTAGTTGACACAGTTGCAGTATACTTCTTTTTATCTGCTGGACTATTGCCACAGAAAAGTAGCTCATACATTTCTGTGGGTTTTATTTGTGCTTCACCCTCAAAACTAGCTGAAGTGCTCTTAGTATCTATTTCCCCGTCCCCCAATGAACGAGAGAAAATGCATTTTCAGTAGAACAAGCAAGGGAGGTTACTTCCCAACAATGTTTTCACTGCTGTTTTCATTGCTTTTCTTTTTAACTAGTGTCTGAATCTGTCCTTGTTCCAAGCTCCTATGAGCTTTTAGAACAATAAGTGCTCTACAATGGCTATTGCTGAAACAGTGCATCTTTGCCAATGTCAGACCACTTAATATGCCTATACCTGGGTTCTAATCTAAAATTTTCACTATTTACAGGGCCTGCTGAATTATAGCAATAATATAGTATATTCGGATGTTGTGCCAGATCCAAGCAAAAATTTAAAAAAACACCACTAGACTAGTATAGGGCTTGCTTACCTTTTAAGGATTGCTCTGACCAGCAGCTGGAATTCCTCCTTAAATCCCAGTTCTTTCTGACAGGTTCTTCCCTCTGCCCTGTGTTACTGTGACGCTATTCTGCCAAGCCATTGCCGATTGGGTTAGATCCACCAAAAAAGCACTCCCCACTGCAGGAGTAGATAGCGTATGGATCAGATGTCTGGAGCCTTACACTTCAGTTGTGATGTCTTGTTAGAAGCATCTAAACTTGTGTCCCATATGGGTCTGATGTCCATACAGATGCACAGAGCACTTTGGGTGAACTGCTGGGATGCGGATGCTATATCCACGGAGCACCTGGCTTACTTGGTCTTTGACAGATGCCCCCTCTTCGATCCTACCCTTGACAACATCATCAAGGATATTGCAGGATGCCAGAGCATGCATCTGCCTTAGGGTAAAAGCACAATAAAAGGTAAGGTTGATTTCCAGCATTCTCCCCATCTGCTTTTGGAGTGAGACCATCCTGGCTTGCTAAGCTTGATTCTCAGATGGCCCACCTAAGACCTCCTAAGCCCTTCAAAGAGTCTTTCAGTATGAAGGTGCACTAGGAAAAGTGGGGGGATAGTTGCTAATCATGGCGGGTCCTTGGGTAGTTTGCCCTTTAGGCATTCAGGTGGAGAGTGCCTTTACAGGCCTTGCATGCTAATTTCTTGCCCTTCTTACTCTCTTCAGTTGCTTGCTCTTCTTTCCTGTGCCATCGTACAGATGAACAGACCTTCTCCTACCCCCTGAGGGTCTCCTTATCCCAGACCACCTTGTGCTAGTCTAGGGGTAGGCAAACTCCAGCTGTGTAAAAATTACAATCCCATCATGCATCTGCTAGAGACATGCATGTGGCGGTCAGTCTTGCAATGCCTAATGGGATTTGTAGTTTCACTACAGCTGGAGGGCCCTGGTATACCTACCCTTGCTCTAGTCCTTGTGTCAGCTTTAGCTGTGTCCTATCCTGGACACCACTCTTTACTTGTAATTTACTTTCCTTAAGGCACATAAGGTAATTATTGAAACCTGGTGTACCCCTCAGTGTTATCCCTCTCTAGGGGGGCTTCCTAAGCTATCAGGTCGGCTGGGTATTGCTTCAGTTGCTCTTCACCCTAATAGGGCTATGGCCCCACGTTTAAATCTGACACGCCTGATACAAACATCATTGCTCTAGGAAGAATCTGATCTAGTACTTTTTTCTGTTATCCCCATTGTGGGACAATGAGGCAGCCCCCTGGGATGAGAGCACATTTTGGGGGCCTTAGGGGACAACACTTTCCCGACATGTTTAATGCTTGTAAGATCTAGCCAGCTTAATTTCTTGATGAAAGGGTCAACAGCATGTTTTCATCCACTTTCCATGTCATTCCATGGGGGCTCCTTTTTATTGTAGAATCTTGGACACAGAGGCTGCATTCTGGTATCCCAAAAAAGGTGGTTCCTGCAAAATAGTGGGATTCCTCTCTGGTTGTGTCTTTCGCTCAGACACTGTGGGACACTATCTAGGTACTGCTGTGTGTACACCTTCTTGAAGAAACGGGAGTCCTCACTTCAGGAAAGGTGGTCCAGTTCCAGTTGTGGTTGATAGAATGTGTATTTAGTCTTGGCTACACTAATCTCCTTCAAAACATTCCCCTGGAGATCAGTTCTTCCAGCTGCTAGCTTCTGGACATGGGGATAAGGTTCTCAAGTGCACCTCAGATGTTGTGTTGCAGGTGAATGATGTCAAAGGAGGGCCCTATGTCTTCCTTGTCTGTCTGCAGGCAGAACAAACTAGTCCCCTGTTGCAGGTATCCTCTGTCAAGAACAGCAAAATAGTTTTGGCTAAAGTTGGAATTTTCTAAAGTATTGGAAAGACTATATAATGCTAATGGGTTTAGCTTATTCTCAGCTCCATCAGTGTTGCAACTAGGTTTTATAAACTGAGGCATGCTGGGTCGAGGAGTTGGCAGTATAAATTGACAGTATCTGAGTTGCTGTGTTCCTCAATGGACTCCAAGAAACAGATAGGTTTTTATTGCGAAAAGAGGCTCTAGCCCTCCCTCATTGTATCTAAGACAAAATAGTTTTGGCTAGGAATGCACCGAAATTTCATCTGCTGAAACATATTGGCGAAAATGACATCTTTCGGCCAAAATTGCGGTTCATGCCTAGTTTCTCTCCTCCCTGCTGGGTGCTGCTCTGTGTCCCCTCTGACACAGTGCAGTGTCCAGCAGGGGGGGAAGAAACTGGCAGAGGAGGCCGAGTGGTGTGGGGGAGAAGAGCGCTGTGAGCGTGTCACAGGAAGCCAGGCTCTCCTCCCGCACCACCCCCCTCTGCCTCCCCTGACTGACCTGTGGGGGGCGGAGACAACCGTGTGCTGTCACAAGAGCCTGAGCTGGCAGGGGGAGGAGTCAGCTGTCAAAATAGACCGAGCTCTCCTCCCCGCACCCTCCTGTGACAGCGAGTCAGGATGGAGAGCAGTCAGCGTTCAGTGATCGCTGACTGCTTGTAAATAACTGGACATAGTATGAGTTACTATATCCAGTTATGAATAAATAGGAAGTGATCTACATCACTTCCTATTCATTCATAATTGTGTACATAGTAACTCGTACTATATCCACAAGTTATGAATGAACAGGAACACTCAGTATAGAGGATTCCTGTTCATGTATAACGGGATGCAGAAAAAAAGATTAAGAACTCTTGTGTCCTCATTTCCCTTTTAACCCCTTCGTGACTGACGACGTACAGTGTACGTCGCCAGCATCAAAAAAGAGATTATCAGGGGTCTGTTTAGGCCCCTGATATTTTACCAAAGCCCCCAGCAGTAAAGTTAAAAAATAAAAATATTTAATAAAAATAAATACTAAATAGAATATAACATTTTTTTAACATTTTTGGTTTCCACCTGACATTTTTTTATTTCTGTGCACCTCCTAGTTTTGGCTAAAGTTAGACTTTTTAAGGTGTTGAAATGACTAGATATCTGGATTAAATATGGTGGGTTTTTTTCTTTACTCATATGAGTAAATTTTGTTTTTTTGTCAGAAGAAACTTTCATGCTCTTCTTATTTACTGTTGTAGATCTTCCTTTTTTTAATTTGTCTTTTTCTGCTCTCCAGTTACTTGACCGACGTGGATCGTATTTCGAAGCCTGGTTACCTGCCCACACAGCAAGATGTATTGCGTGTCAGAGTGCCAACGACTGGTATCATAGAGTACCCCTTTGACCTGGAAAACATCATCTTTAGGTAAATGCTACATCACGTGCTATTTTGTTTTTCTTTATAAAGTTCGTTGTTTGTGTGTTCTGAACTCTTTAGTGGAATTGAACTTTGGAAGTTGTGCCCAAAAAAATATAGACAAGAGGGCAAAGAGTTAGTCACTGCATTGCATGTGGTGACCCTACAATTTGATCTTTCCTGCATTACTAACTTGCCAAGCCTTGTACTCCACTCTGTCTCTGTGTGTGATACTGTGCGTTAGTCACAAGGAACCGTGCAATCAACTCACAGCATTGGTATGAATGGCCCCTAATATTACACTGCAGATATACAGCTTTGAGGCTGTAGGCTCAGGAGTTCTTAGGCACACTTGCATACCAGGAAGTGCTTTGCTATTTTTTAGTAGGAAATGCAGACAAAAAGGTAGATTTGTATAGTACAGCTTTGGTTGATGTAACATTATTAAATACATGTTTCCTGTAACTTAGCAAAGCTTCACTTTTCTATTTTAAGGGACTTGATTGAAATAAACACCCTAACCCTCTTCCCCTGGCCTTTTCAGAAATTCATGTAATAAAATGTCATACCTCTTTAGATTTTTTTTCTATAGAAATTCTCTATCTTCACCCTTGCACATGTAGCTTCCTACAATATTATATTTGTAGAGAAGAGAGGGCAGAGCGGACGTTTTTTTTTTTTGGGGGGGGGGTTCACTCTTAAAAGCATTTAAGGGCATATTTTGCAAAATATTTAAACAGCAAGACCCCTCTTAATTCATTACAACTACCACTATGCTAGTATTGGGCTGCATTTATTGGCAGTGCACTACACTCATTTTTATTCCCTTTTTTCTTTCCTTAGCGAAAAAAAAGTTTTACAATTTTTGTGTTTTAAATGGGTGGACATATTGATTTTTGTAGCAGTCCTAATAATAAGTACCACAGCAGCTGTTTTTTGGTTGTAGATGTTTCAGGATGCAAGATTTTTCGGTCCCTGAAATGCTCACTTAAGCAGACGGGGCATATACCTCTTTACATACAAGCCTACCTTTTAGTAAATCTGCCTCAGGACCCTGAGCCTTTTCAAAGTTTTATTAAATATGAAACAAGAATTATATTTATGTGCCATTGCTTACTGTGATCAAATGCATTTATATGACTTATGGGTGCTTTTCTATTGTGTGCAGTGTTGGTGCAGCATTCTTATCTGATAAGGTGACAGTTGAATATGTTGACCTTCTAGATCCAGTAATGTAATCTAATAGCTTTTTTATTGTATATTACATTTTTACGTTAAACAGTATATGCCATTTAGGTCATGCCCTGCAGGGAAAACATGCCTAAAGCCATGGCTCTTATTTTTATCACCTGATCTCTTTAACAGAATGGTTGATGTGGGAGGTCAAAGATCTGAGCGGAGGAAGTGGATACACTGCTTTGAGAACGTTACATCCATAATGTTCCTTGTTGCCCTTAGTGAATATGACCAGGTTCTTGTGGAGTCTGATAATGAGGTGAGTATCCTGAATTTTTACCTCTCAAATTAATTTAAAGTGTATGTAAACCCTAACTCTATTTTCCTTTCTCGACCATTATGGGGTGCAGGAATTAGATACTGTTGGGTTTTACTGCTGCTTACAGGAGGACAGTGGTAAACAAAAAAACCATAGGACCCAGGACAACCCCTCCTCTACATACCATGCCTCCAGGTTTTGTCTAGTGTCTTAGAAGGATGGACATCTTTTTTCAGCTCTGCTGAGAAAAGTTTAACCAGTTTTTCCCTAACATTTCTTCAATTTCTCCATTAAATTGATGTGGTTCAAGATCCCTTGCCACACTGCTGCTCGAGTTGATCTTTACATGGCAGCAATCCAGATTGTACTTTCCTCAGTTTAGCATTGTAGTCTCATGCCCAGACCCCGCTAGACTGGATGTTGCAGCGTTAGCTTGGAAGTGCCCTTCAGGCACTGGGCTCTGCTTGTTGTAATTTCCAGGTATCAAGTACTGGTAAAGGTTAGCCTAGGAATGCTTTACAGGTACATAGCTGTAGCTGTTGACATTCCCTCAGTTCTTACCCTGTATCTAAAGGCTCACTTTGTTGGTCATGCCCTATCATAAGGACCTTCTGGTCGGAGGTTACTTCCTTCCTGGAGGATAGCCTGAGTTTCCCCAATATCTGCAATCCTGCGTTCTGCCTCCTCGGTCTGGCGAATTGCCATTGGCCTTGAGTGCTCAGACACTACTCCGCCTCCTTTTATTTTACGCCAGGAAGAACATTCTCCTGGTCTGGGGTAGCCCGAAAGTTCCGTCCCTGAGTGACTGGAAAAGATTGGTCAATCAGGCATTGCCCCTCTATAAACTTACATATGAGCAGCGGGGCAACCCAATGCGTTTTGCTCGCATCTGGGATCTGTGGCTGTCCTCATTTACCACTACTGTGGGTATGAGGTGAGGTTCTAAAGACATGATCATCTTTTAGACTAATGGCCTTTTTTGTACTCCTGGAAGTGTTTCATACTCAATTGATTACAAGTGGCTACGTCCAATTTCCCACACTGTATGCTGCCTGTGTTTTGGAGGTTAGCTCCCATGTACTGGATTATGTAACCTTGTAAATCGTGAAATGTATGTGTGTATCGCATCATTTGCCCTGGTTATGTTGACCCGGTTGTTGTATGTGTTGACTGTATGGTATAGATGTATTTTGTATGTGTCTGACACGGAAAAAAAGAAAAAGACTCAATAAACAGTATCTTTTTAAAAAAAGGCTCACTTTGTTGAGTAGGCTAATCGACCTTGCTATTTGCACCATTTGGGTATCTTTTGAATTGTCTTAATATTGTTGGTTTCTCCACAGGAGGGGTTAACCCTGAGCACTGACAAAATCTGCTGGTTGTAGTGTCTCACCTGCGTTACACAATCTCATTCCTGCCATTTACACGACGACGCCCATTTTCTGTGCTGACCTGATCCGTACGCTCCTGCACTAAAAATGCATCCTAATGTGTTTTATGGGCTACAGTTCTCACGTGCGCAGTCCGTTCAGGTTACGACAGAAAAATAATGCATGTCACATTTTGTACGGTCAGGGACCGGAAACACAAAACACGTCAAAAACGCACTGCACTGCAGCTAACATACCGATTCCCCACTCCAGCAAAAAAAAAATAAGTTTTTTATACCTGGAACGCATCATAAACGCGGCCAAAACGCACTGCATCAGTAGCACCGCAGATCAGGACCTGATATCATGTGAACAGGCCCTTGGAGTAGATGAAGCATCATCCTGCTCCTGCTCCTGCTTTGTGGAGAGTGCCAAGATGAGCCTAGTTGCATTACTGCCACCCAGTCGCAACATGTCTGCATGTAGTTGAGGAGGGGACAGGCCCGCTGCTACAGGAGACCCCCAGCCCCCACTCTTAATGGTCCAGGGATGTTTACTGTGTACCATCCAAGGGCACAGACATCTGAATTCTGGAACCCAGTAGACTTGTGTGCCGTCAAAAAATTTGTTCTGTTTCGTTTCGGAATATCCGTTATTTCGTATTTCGTAACTGAACTCGATTCGGATTCGTACGAAATACGAAATTTCGTTAGTGAACCCAGTGACCCTATGTATAAAAGGTCTACCTCATTAGAATCTTGCTTTAGTTGCAGCCGAGTCCCCTAACGTGTTGTCAGGGGACTTTACTGCAGTCACACAAGACTTTGATAAGACGTCTTGATAAAGATCAATAACTGATATCCCAGAGGCCTAAGAACAAGCAGGGCCCCTGGTCGCAGTAACCATCTCAGACTCAAAGTCCCCATAGTCCTTCTCTGACGAGGCTAGTTTCTCCTGCTGGTCGCCTTCATCACCTCAGACCTACAAGAAGTTGTTTCAGCCCTTATTAATGCAGAATGCACTACGTTGTGGTTGGGGGAACAACCTTATATCTCCAATCTTGGGTCTTCCAGAGCCCCTACAGTTATGAAGACCTTTACACTATACATTCTATTTGAAGTGTTCCTCTGTGTGCGGACTGGAAGCACTGTGAAGGGTCCCTGAACCCTGTTTTGGAACTGTTCTCCTTAGACCAGCAGAGGATGGGCTCTTGGGTAATAAGGATCACACTGACCAGCAACTGGAATCCCCTATTTAATCCCAGTTCCCTCCTGGAAGCTTTTGTCCTGTGCTCTGTGTTGGCTGTTGCTCTAATCTGTCATACCTTACCAGAATGGGTTGGATTAAAACAAAAACCCTTTCCACTGCTGTGTAGCTACGTGTGATGCTCTGGCCAGCGTCCGGCCCAGCTCACTGATGTCACGGGTTGCCAGGAGCTGAGCGGGACACTATCTGGTGTCCCACGCAGCTCCTGGCAACTAGTGACATCAGTGAGCTGGGCGGGGTGCCAGACAGATCCAAAACAAAGTGGTACACCATTTCTTGGAGTACAGTACAAGGACATAGGACCCTACCCCCTATGTCCTCTATTGCGTGCTAATATAATGAAGATTTCTTGCAGTGGGAGGGGTTATATGCGGGCCCTCACAGTATCCAATCACCTGATAATATCTGCATATTACCCCAGTCATCTTTGAATCTGCTTGTGTACTGTACTCCCAAAAATGGATTTTACTGAAAAGTCAAAAATCCTATATTTTTTTTTTCCCTTATGATTTCCATGCCAGGTGTTTGACATTTTCCCACTATGACTCGGGGGTGTGGAATTCCTATCGCCCTATGCCTCAAGCAGAGCTGAATGTACATTGTGGAGCTGCCGCCGTTTGTTTACTACAAGTGGTCTGATCAGACCACTTGTATTTGAGCAGCGGCGATCGTTTCTGCCCGCACCCCCAGCTTTGATATTGCAGCCGCCATTCCATGGTGGTAGCCAGAATTCTCTTACACACACACAATGTGCATTAAGGCTGGGTTCACACTTGGGTGTTCGTAATATGCGTGTTCGACGCGCGTTTCGGGCTGCGCAGTAGCGCGATTTGTGGTCAATGAAACATGTGACAAAAGCACGTTTACGAGGGCTATCCAGCTGTATCCTAATGGATACGAGCGGAAAATACATCCCAACGAAGCTCCTGTATTTCTTTGGGCGTAGGGCGTTTTTCAGCGCGTTCCTACACGCTGAAATACGCCCTGGTGGGAACCATGCCCATAGGAAATAATGGAATTTCACTTGCTGGGCGTTTTGCAGCGCGTCGATCAGCACTATAAAACGCCCAGGTGTGAACCAGGCCTAAAGGGTAAGTTCATTTTCCCAGGTAATATGGAAAAATAAAAATTACCAGATGAAATCTGGTCCCGTCTCTCCCAAACCGCCACCCCCCCTGGCTATACTTAGCTTTCGGCGAACAATCCCTCCCCTTCGCCAGTATGGGTGTACTATCTGTCCCCCGTACTGCTGTCCAGCGCAGTCCTCCCCTATGCATTTTGAATTTCACTCGCAAATTGCAAGCACTAATTGGTCAACGTGGTCAGATGACTGCGCTGACCAGTGAGAAGCGCTATTTAGCACAGTCAAATATGTTTTGATTAGGGGTGCACCGATACTAGTATCAGTGCGATAGGGTATTTGGGCAAGTACTCGTACTCACCCAAATACTCCAATACCTTCCCCGATATTGGAACTTACGGCCAGTTGAAAATTTCCTCTCACTGGCAGCGCCGTAGGGCAACATGGAGCCAGCTTCCCGTACAATCAGGAAGCCGTGCGGCAGGTAATGACCCGCCTCCTGGTTTTCTGATTGGCCGGGAAGCCGGCTCCTTGCTGATTGGCTGGAAAGCCGGCTTCCTGGCCAATCAGCATCGAGCCAGTTTCCCGGTCAATCAGGAAGCCGGGTGGCGAGTAATGACCTGATTGACCGGGAAGCACGTTTCCCGGCCAATCACAATCAAGCAGGCCAAACAACATGGAGCCGGCTTCCGTGGCAATCAGGAACCTGGGCGGGATGTCATTACCCGCTGCCCGGCGGGTTTACCAGGGAAGCCTGCTCCATGCCAGCGGAAGCACCAGTATTAGTATTCGGTGTCGGTGAGATCCGAAAGCAAAAAATCGGTACTCGATACCGAAAAACCGGTATTGGTGCATCCTTAGTTTTGATTAAAACCTATTTTTTTGTATTGGGACAAGTAGATTGTCATGAAGGACAAGTAGATTTAGCCCCCGCTTTAGCCCTTGGAGAAGTTGTTTTTTTTTTACATTTCCACACCCCTGTGACTGCTGTGAGGGATATTTGCATACAACCTTCGCTGGTTTTGGCGTTTCCTCTTCTAAAGCTTACCATGTTGCACTGCTTGACCTTGTTCATTAGTCTGATAATAACAAAAATAGAACCATTTCTTCCTTTCTTCTTACTGCATCTTATTCATCTAGGATCACTGCTCACATAGAAGAACTTCATTGTAGTTATATTTGTGGTGTTTTCTCTGTAGAACCGAATGGAGGAGAGCAAGGCTCTTTTCAGGACGATTATCACGTACCCCTGGTTCCAGAATTCTTCTGTAATCCTATTTCTCAATAAGAAGGACCTTCTTGAAGACAAGATCGTGTACTCTCATCTTGTAGATTACTTTCCGGAGTTTGATGGTTAGTATTTTATGAATTAATTCACTTCTTCGAACAAATTGACATATAACAGTTTAAATACAAGAAAGATTTTATCACTGTCCTTGTTTTCCATTAAATTGAACTAGTGTCAGCTTTGAAACTTACATGAGTCATGCAAGGGTGGCACAACAAACTGCCTGCAAATACCTTTAATTGTAGTCATCATTTGGACTGCATGCACTCCGAAACTGAAATCCTCTAGTTTTTCTTTGACTTTTTCTAATTGTGATGTTTATCGATAGGTGGAATTAATTTAAATGTATTTTTTAATGAAAACTTGAGTTTTATAAACCCTTGCACTAATGTCATGTGAAATAAACAATTTCAACTGCCACCATTTTATTCTACAAGGTCTCTTCTTTCAGGAAATATATGCTTCTGGAGGGTTTAAGTAATCTTTAGACTTCATTTGTGCAGAAAACGCAAAACGGGGTCTGGCCGCCAACAGTTTAAGGCCCTTTTCTGGGGATTTTTAAAAATTATTTTCTGGAACTAAGTAGGTGTGGCCTTCTGTAGACATAATTTGTCCCTGACAAATTAGTTAAACTTAAATTTACCATCTGTTTCATTTGAGTTTTGTTCCTGCCTATTTAAAGGTCTATGGCAGTTTTTAAAACTGAACTATGGGCAATGCCCAAAACATTTTCTGCCCATATCCATGGCAGCGCTGACAAACCGGTTTTAGATCCAATTACCCCTAGCTGACAGGAACCAAAAGGGTTAAACAAGGCATAACCCTCTCCATAAAAGCCCCTCCTCCTGCTGACTTCCCCAGTCTTTTTTTGTTCCTGTCCCCCCTAGGGCAGGGTTGTTTGTATATTACTGAGAAGTTTTCTTTCTTAACCAACTGCTTGATTTCGTATGGCCTCAGGAGAGTTAAGCCTCTCTTCCCCTGGGAAGTCTCCAAAACTCGGCCCCGTGCAAAGCTGTCCCCTTGGGGAAGGGCAATTTTTGTTTCCATGAGAGACTTTGCGGGGCAGAGACGGAATAGATCTTCCTTTCCTGTGAGTAACATCACAAAGAAACTCATGAAAGAGGAATGGGATAAGCCAGAACGAAGAATGGGTGCAAAGGGAAGATTCTCCCACCTCTATCCTATCAGTGACGCAGACTCCAATACTTGGCATACAGCTCCCAAGGTAGATGCGGCAGTAATACGGTTGGAAAAGCATACCGCCTTGGCTGTCGATAACGCAGGTTTCCTTAAGGATCCGATGGACCCCTTCAGCCTGCGGTGGCCTTATCTTCAGTATCAAGAACTTCTAAATTGTGGATAGAAGATCTGGAAGAAGATATTAAGAAGAGAGTGAGTAGACATAGTGTCCTGGATAGGATACACGATATGAAATTGGCAGCTGATTTCTCTACAGGAGCCGCGGATGATCTGCTTCACCATCATTAACACCTATCAAACATCGGGAGTCTCCCCACCAGAAGGCATCAGGGCTCACTCCACAAGGGCCGTGTCCTCATGGGCAGCAGCAGCTGGAGTTTCGGCGGGTCAAATTTGCAGGGTAGCAACATGGGCATCTAAGTCTACCTTTTGTTAGGCATTATCGACTGGACGTCAGGGCTGCCGTGAATGACCACGAGTCGACTAATGGAGTACATGGAGTCGACTAATACGTTTATTTTTGGCATTCAATGATGTTTGTCTATGGATTTTGTTCCCACCCTTCTGCTTGGGTAATCCACGTTTGTCAGCGCTGCCATGGATATGGCCAGGAAAACTGAAAATGTAATCATATTTACCGTAATTTTCTTTTCCTGGTTATACTCCATGGCAGCGCTGGGCTCCCACCCTATGGAGTTTTTAACTTGTTACTAGACAGGGGAAGTCAGCAGGACTAGGGGCTTTTATGGAGAGGGTTATGCCTTGTTTAACCCTTTTGGTTCCTGTCAGCTAGGGGTAATTGGATCTAAAACCCGTTTGTCAGCGCTGCCATGGAGTATAACCAGGAAAAGAAAATTACGGTAAGTATGATTTAAATTTTCCGTTATCTCCACTGCACCCTTTCCATGTGTGGAGCATTCAGTTGAAGGAATGTTAAAATGACCTCTTTCTATAAGGAGATATTCTGTGTATTCCCTAAAACGTCATCACAAGGCTCCTTAGTTTCCTCAGCATTGGCAGGTGCAGGTAGATGTGGTGCTGTGAGCAGGACTTTAAGTGGGTTTGCGGGTAGTGACAGGAGGAAAAGAACTCCCCTGTCATTCCTAGTAAATCAGCTAGTAATGTAATGGTGCCAGAGGTAGACTATTCACACTCACTTCCCTGTTGCTTTATAGTAAATTCTATATTTTACATAATATTTTTCATAACCGAGCCGGCACAAACAAACTTTTTCGTTAAACTGAAGTTTTACTGCTGCCTCTAAGATCTCATCTGCTGTATCTTCAGTGCTCCTGGAAACATTGTCTGCCTGAATTACTGAACAAGGATCGAGGCTTAGGAAAGCAGAGTAAAGAGGGGCACAGTAGGGCAGATTGAAAGTCTGAAGCCTCTCTCACTACTGTCAGTGTCTAGAGCTCCTAGACAGCTATTTGCTGCAGGTGGTGATCAGAAGATTGAAAGTGTATTTCCACTTTTGCAGTCAAAATTGACAAAAACCCCACTAATTTTTGTGTTGCTATTCACACAGCATGTCTAAAAAAAATATATATTTTTAATATTTTCTACCTTTTTAGATATCTCTTTTGCAGGCCTCTGCAAGCTTTTCTCTCAATTTCAGGATAATGGGAAACTGTCTGACCTAATAGAAAGCCTTAGGACAGCCTGAGATCCCCCTTATTAACATACATTGTCTTCGGGGCTTTAAAGGAGAACTATGGGGTTAAGTCTTTTCCCCATAGTTCTCCTTAGGGTAACGGGAGGACACAAACTAGCGCTGGCGGATCGGAGCGGGGAGGGGGGAATACAGCCCCTCCCCTGTCACGGCAGAGAGCCGTGACAGGATCGAGAGGTGAGCGAACGCCGGTATATGTTCGCTCACCTCCCGATCTACTGAGCCGACCTGTGACAGTCTCATTGTCCCAGGTCGGCTAGAACTATGAGGTGAGTGAAAATCACTCTCCTCATAGTTCTCCTTTTAATTCTGTTAGGACAGACAGTACTGCTCATTTGGTTTACAAGTGATAATTAAATCTGCCAGGACAGTACAGACAGGGTTAGTTATAAGAAACTAATCTCCCCCCAATCCTCTCAGACAGTGAGAACTAATCAGGATTTTACAGTCCTAGAACTAGCTGAAAACCTAAAAAAAATTAAAATCTACAGCTTACATTTTTAGGAGTTATGCGGTGTGATTGGGAACATGTAACAAATATAAAGCAGGTGTTATCCCAGTTTGGGTGCAAAAGTGGAAATACACTTGAAGCCATGAAGTCTGCTTCACTGAATCATCATACTTTGCTGTCTATGTTCAGAGCTCCTAGGCAGGAGTTGCAGGATGTTGATCAGTGGATTATAGTTAAGGGAAGCATAGAAAAGCACAGCAGGCAGACAGGAAGCCTTCTCCATAAAAGGAGAACTTTGAGGTGACCGTTTTTTACTCACCTCATAGTTCTAGCCGACCTGTGACAATGAGACTGTCACAGGTCGGCTCAGTAGATCGAGAAGTGAGCGAACACATACCCGCGTTTGCTCACCTCTCGATCCTGTCACAGCTCTCTGTCGTGACGGGGTAGGTGCTGGATTCCCCCCTCCGTTCGGCCAGCGCTGATCGGACGGGGGAGGGGGCGGGTACAGCTGGCTCTGCCTCTAGATAGGCAGAGCTAGCTGTCATTCACGCAGCTGGGCGGATCCAGACATAATTGTCGGGATCCGCTTCAGCTGCGGCGTCTCAGTATACCGCGAGCAGTAGCTCGCGGTGTACTGTGGCGTCTCAGTATACCGTGAGCTGTAGCTCGCGGTATACTGAGCTTAGGGTGACGGGAGGATGCTAGTTTGAATCCTCCCGTTACCCTAAGGAGAACTATGGGGAAAAGCCTTAACCCAATAGTTCTCCTTTAAAGCCTTATACTTGACTGGCCATGTTCAGAGGAGGCAGGAGTTGCAGGACACTGATCAGTGGATTAAAGTTCAGGGGAGCAGAGAGAAGCACAGCATGGCAGGCAGCATCTCTACGCCACTAAAACCTAACACCACTGTCAGTTGCCTCAGCTTCTAGGCAGAGACTGCATTACGCTGATCAAGGCAGAGCAAGGTGGAGAGAGTTGCAGTAAACTCAGCATTAACAGCTAGGATCTTTCTGGTCCCATCCCAGCATTACAGCTGCCTAATTAGAATTACTGGGTGTGTGGTGAGGAGACTGATCACCCAGCATATAGTTAGCAGGCTGAGGTTACCTGTCTCCACAACAGGCAAAAGCAGGCAGCAACAACTCTGAATGCAAGCTTTCATCCATGTAATTGGGCCATTTTAGTACCAGCCATAAGGTAAAGAATTTGTGCAACTTTCATAATCACTGGTAGATTCCAGAGCTTCTTGCATTGCCATTTATAGTCATTTCTATTCAACCCCTCAGGATTCCATTGTGCATCTGAAATCTTGTTAAGACATGGACATACTGTAGTTGATGAACACCCCTCTCCTAATTTGTATAGATTTAATGTAGGTTATGTTCAGCCATTACCTGTACTCTGCTTTTTTTTTTTCTCTGTCTCCCTGGTAATACACAACTGGATTCTCCTGACATACTTAAAATGATCCCAGGCCAGTGAGTGTAAAGTTAACTTAACACAGATCTTTCTCTGAGAATCACAGGCACAGAGAGATCTGCTTGAGCTCATTTGCACTTTCAGGTTCCACTGAGTTTCTTATTCCCATTTCAGTCATAGAGTATACACTTTAAAAGAACAGAGAGAAGTCATTAAAATTATATTAAAGTCAAAAGGATTTTAAGCTATTTCAAATGCTGATTTATATCACTTACAATGGAATCAGCTGGTTCCCTATATCCTGTTTTATGGTGGCTTCTTCCATTGTAGGGTCCTAAAGAGCCACCCTTGTGTGTTCTAGTAAGCTGTATGTGTCTCTACAAACACACAGGCACAGACAGGCCAACCTCTCCTGCTTCCTGCTCCCCCCCTCTTCCTTCCTTTTCCAAGCTAGTATATTGACAGCTGCTGAAGACGGTGCTGTCTCTTTTCATCTTGTACTGGACAAGAAGTTTAGGGAAGCAGAGCTGAGAGAGTTGGAGCCAGCTGTTCAGAACCATGATAACTAAGTGGGCAAAATGTGAAAAATGTTTTGCTGGGCAATGTATATTTGTTTGATCTGAATTAGTGAAAAAATTGAGCGTTTAATGCTACTTTAAGTGATACAAGATTTGCAATAATAGCTACTTTCTTTGCTCACAGACTTTAGGATTAACCGCTAAATGCCCTGACCTTCATCTGCAATTAAACCAATTACATCACAACCAGCAACATGCAAATCTTGCCTTGTGGGGCCTTTTTACAGTCTTTTGTTTCAATCATTTTTGTTCAAGCTTTGTATAGTGATATCTAACAATAAACTGTATTAAGGAAAAAGTATAATCCAAACATGGCACAGAAGTAAATGGAACATAGTCATTGTAAATGATAAACCAGAAAGGTAAAGAGTATAACCTACTGGGTCTACAAGTATATTAGAAATACAAGTATCTGAGTTGTATAGAAATTGTAGTGAAGATATATGTACCTTCATCATTGAAAGGGGGTAACATTTGTGGGGAAAGGATGGGAGAAAGGGACGGGGGGAGGGTAGTATAGGAAGTGTTATGACCAAGGAGGTTAGCAAGACAAGTCTTCACCGATCGTGTTTTTAGTAGTTATACTTCCAGTAGGGAGCAATCGAAGTTTGCGGGCAGAAAGTGGTTGATCCAGGAATCCCAAATTCTATATAATTCAGGAAATAATCCCTTTGATTCACAGTAAACTGTTTGTAAAACCTGCATTGGTGGACATGCAAATTCAGTTCATCAAACAGGATACAAGGTTCTTCATCCTTTGCAATGGTTTAACCACCGGGAAAACATGTGAAACATATCTCAGATTTAGTGGAAGGCTTTTAATTACGGATGGCTTCCCAGGGATTCATTGAGAGGGGGCAACCTAACAAGGTGAAAATGAGATAACCCTCTAAGTATAGGCTAATGGAGGGTTTGCTGTTATATTCTGGGTCTGTCTGTGTTCCACATATAGTGAAGGATACTATTCTGTTGAATTTGAAGGACATGGGAGAGTATAGGAAGTGGAAGTACACAAAAAGATATAACAATTTAGGTTGTTAGTTGGTCATTTTGACTGCAATAATATTCCCAGCCAAGAGATGGGATATTTTTTTTTTCCTATTCTGTTAATGGTTTTTGTAAATCATATTGTATTGTATAATTTAGATATGTTGATACCTAGGTATGGGAGGCAAAATGCCAACCACTGATCATCATAGGATTGTTGGAGATTTTGAACGAGGTCAGGGAAAAGGGAAACATCTAAGGCTTGGATTTTTGTTAGTTTACATGAAGACCTGAAACATTGGCAAAATTCCGTAATAGGCCAAAGAGTTTGGGTAGAGGGATAATGGGGTTAGAGGGGATCATTATGTTGTCCGCTGGGAGGAGCCACACTTTTCTGTGCAGTGATGGTCTCTTCTTCCTATGACATACTAATAGGGAGATGTGTAAAGCCTATGCCCTCTTAGCTATTCAGCTAGAAGATCTGAAACCCATTAACTTTTGGTGTTGAATCAGTTTTTATTAGTATTTTTAACAGTTCCATTCAGTATCAAAACTCAAGAAGAGTACAAAAAGTACAACCAGTACAAATACAAAGAAGACATCAGGCTACATGAATATATGCATTGAGCCATGGCGTTCTGGTACGATCATTCAAGCGTCGGTGGTGAAGGTGACCTAAATTCGGTCACACAATACGTAAAGCTAAGGCATTTCTAGGTTATGTATAATTTCACCATAGAGAGGAACAACACCCCTATGACTATATTTACATAATAGATCTGGTGGGTGTCACCAGTGCGTGTTCAGACATTGTAGCTCTTGTCAACACTGTCCGGTACCTTCTCTGAACCAACATTTTAAACATCCTGATATGTCAGGAAAGTTGTAGAAAGGGAGGGGAACATAAAGAGGAAAACTAATAGAGGAGGGAAATGTGGAAGAAAGAGAGAGGGGAATGGAGGGGAGGGGATTAGGGGGGGAGGGGGTCACGGTCTGTGAACTGAGGTTGTGCATCGAGACTTGGTGTCCCTTTCGCTCTCAGGGTATTGCCCTAGAGGTAGGACTGTAGGTCGGCGGAGGAGGAAAAGTGAATCCATACACTCCATTGGGTCATGAACTTGGAAAAGGCATTAGCATCAGTTGCTATCAGTTCCTCCATAAGCATGATATCATTGACGTGGCTAACCCATTGGGAAATGGGTGGAGTACTAGGTTGTTTCCAATGTAAGGGCATCACTTGCCTAGCTGCGGACAAGATATGTCTAAGTATCATGTTTTTTTGAGTTGAAACCCATTAACTTTTGAATGTATTTGCTTTCTAGGCCCTCAGCGAGATGCGACAACCGCTCGTGAATTCATCCTGAAAATGTTTGTGGATCTGAATCCCGATAGTGACAAAATAATCTACTCACATTTTACCTGCGCCACAGACACAGAGAACATCCGCTTTGTATTTGCTGCTGTAAAAGACACCATCCTGCAGCTAAACCTTAAAGAGTACAACCTGGTGTGACCAAGCTCCCTCACTACTCCTGCTCGCCTAAATGATGTTATATTTCTCACCAACAGAGTGTGGAGCAACTGCATAACTGAGGAGGAGGAGTACCCTCCAATCCTACATTTGTTTGTTCTTTCTTTTTTAAATTGGTGATTTTTTTTATTTGCCAAATTACTGAAAATGCAGCACAGTGCTGCAAGTCTGCCTTGGAAATTATATAAAATTAATGTGATTTTATTTTGAGATAGATATATCTATATATATCTATATATATATAGATAGATATATATAGATATATATCTGTTTTTAGAAAAATGTGTTGCTTCATCCTTAACGAAGTGGATGTAGTTATTTGAGCTGTTTGCTCAATGTGTACATGGCCATTTTACAATCTTCCTTTTTATATATACTATTGTTTAAACAAAAAAAAAATGTCTTGCCTCCAACTTAGTTGTTCAGGTCTGCACCCATGTGGTTTCCCACCTCGTTTTTTATTTTGTCAATGCTGTTAAGCCGCATTGCATGTTTTTAACAGACTACGATATAAATGACAGGGCTAAAATTCTGTATTTCTTTCTAGGGATGGTCAAATCAATGAGTTTTGTGTGTATGTATATTGTATATCATATATAGGTATGTATATTTTCTTTTTTTAATTTTTATTCTGGACATATCTTCCGCCTTTAAACTTATTTACCTGTGTTCTTTCTGAAGTTTGGGCTACTTCTGGCCATGTTTGCACTCTGAAAGTTGAGATCTACAATGAGATAGTAAAGTCTTAAGGGGCAAGTCCCAGAAATTTTCCAAAAATACCTCATACTCAAGGTTAATTTAGAAAGATCCTAAAGCATTTTACTGTTGTGAATCTACTTAAGTATGCATTGATTTTCACAATACAGTTGTCCTTTTCCACTGAAGGTGCCAATTCCGGACCGTTCCAAGTAGTGTTATTTAGTCTCACGAATAGTAGTGAAAAGTGTCAGCCTTACCCATAGCTTCTCCATTGCTTGCTAGGAACCATTTTTTTGGAGACCCCCTTTACATCAATGGATCCTCATATAAGCTACTTGTTTCACCTGTGACTTGGTGAAGGGAACCACAAAACATGACCTGTGAGTGGGCCTTAATAGGTGTATTTTTAGACACTGATGTGTAGGGTGGCTAAAGATGCGTATTCACAAAACGTTCTAGCATTTGGTGTTTCCAACTAAAATACCAGGCCAATTACTTCAATATCCTGCATAATTTGCAGTAGATGGGCCATTCTGCATAACAGTATTTTTATAAGTATTAATTAGTCTGTATGCCGTGTGGTAATAGGTCCTATATTTCGAGTTGATTGCAATATATGTACTTCTATGTAAAAATCAGTATTGTAGCTCATCAACTGGCATCTGTAGCCAGAATATTAATTTAATACCGTAAAGAAAACGGTTTCCCGTGCAGTGTTTTACTAGATCTGGCACGCCATACTTTTCAATAGATCCAGCAGTCGGCACCAAGCTGTAGATGGGGGTGGTGGGTCTGCTACAGATTGGCCCATAGGAAATAATAGCCTACCCAGAGCCCACCAACCTAGTTTTCAGCATATCACAGAAACACTTTTCTGTTGGGAAACTGAGATTTCTTCAGGAAAAAGGTGCAGTTTAGTTTGTTGGATTTCGTTTTTGTGTACAAGGCCAGTGGGGGTTCAGTACTGATTTTATGTGCAAGTGCACTTATACTGAGAGGGACAATGAAGCCAATATGCAACTAATTTCATAGAGCAACTATTAACTTTTGTGTATGTACATCGCAAAGTGTGAAGTGCTTACCAGAGATAAGGACAATTGCAGTAAAACACTTATCTGGCAGATAAATATTTTCTTTGTTCTAGCTTACTTCCAGTTAGCAAGCCAGTTGAAAGACACTACAAGGCTACCTTTGGTAAGCCTAAGATAGCTGATAATGTAGCTTTATGGCAAAAGTAATGCCATTTGTTTCAACTTTTTTACATATATCTGTACTTCTATATCCATATTGGCAAATTGTGTCAGTACCTCTGTTACCCAGGTATAATGTTTCGTTTGCCGATTCTTTTCATTTCAGTACCGTGGCTTGCTCCCATATATTTTGTTGATATGACTATACTGACTGTATTAATTATATAAATGTTCTACTAACTCATTTGCTCAAAACACTAAAGGAAGCCTGTTTTACCTCATTTTGGAAGTGGTAACTGTACCATGGTAGTCTCCATAAATTTTAAACCCTTCCGAAGCTGAAACTTTATATTTAAAGTGAGTCTGTCCTTAGCCCATGCAGGTCAAGGTAACAGATTCCCTTAATTATTACCTCCTACCTTCCATTTGCTTCTTGGCCAAAGTAAAATACGTCTAGTACATCTGGGGGTAGGGAGCGTGTGACTCTCTATCGCTCCTCTACTCCTAAAATTAAACACTAAGTACCTGATCACTAGGGGCCGCTTGCTGCCATTGTGGAGCAGGGATGGAGCCCATAGCCCTGTGTAAACCTCAATTAGACAGACTTGAAAGGTTTCTTTTTTTCTTTCCTCCTGCAAGCTATTAGTGAGGATGCAAATGGAAGGGGAGTAAGCAATAGGTTAGAGGATAGGAGAGCAATTAGGTGACTGTGTTACTTCTTTACCCTGTATGGGTAAAGCATACGTTCACTTAAAATTATTGTCAAGAGTTTTGTTGATTCCTGTGCTGCCCTCTAGTTTGCAACAAGTTGCAATGTGTTAATGCTTGTGTGGTGGTTTTCTGTAATATAAAGGTAATTCATATTTCAGTGTAAGTGGAAATGTTTGGCTGCGTATGTTTTTATGCACATTTTTGTCCCCTCAACTTATTATTCCAGTGTTTCTGACCTGCACTTTTTACATGGAATAAAGGGATCACTTGTGAGCAGTCAACAGAATCTAGTATTCTTATTGAGATTTGGCGTTTGTGAGCTAAAGTGCTGGTAATATCCAGTTAGATTTGACCTTCCTGTAGTAAGATGCTGATAAATCTCTGTATTTGGCTATATTGATTAAGGATGATCTGCAAATTGTGTGCCTTATGAATTCTGTTGGAAGTGTATATTATTCCCTAAAAACGTAATTTTGGACTGCTTATTAAAAGCAGCGGTATTGTGTACATTTGATTCGTTGTGTGCTAGGTAATATGGCATCTGTGAGCAAGTTGCACTACATAGTATGATATTTTCCAGTTTTGATGCAGCTCTTATTTGTATCAGAAGCATGTTGGTATTATTGGTACTTCTATAAGTGACACTATATAGATTAGTAGTAGTTTTTATTTAGTCTCTTGTTATTAGTACACTGAGCCAGGCCATAGAACAATGTGAGGTAACCAGCAACCATCTTCAAGCATTGGTTGTCATTAATATGTCCCCTCTTCTGAAGGAACCTGCTCATATTTATTACTCTTTGAATTGTATTTAAGGGAAAGCTCCTGGACTGTGTCAACAGGCTTTTGTCTGTGTCAAAATTGCTTTCTTTCTCCATGCAAGTCAATGGGAATGCCAAAGCAGCTTGAATCAGCATAGAAGGTCAAATGCAGGTCAATAAGTGGTCAACTACAGGTTAAAATGCTCCTGTCAGTAAACTCTGATTTTTAGAAGCGTATTAAACTGTCAAATGCATGCAGTATGCTCCTGAAGTAAGATGCATATGCCCACTGACATCAGCCCACTAGCACTTCTTGACTCTTGAACTAGTAGATCGGCCAGGAGTCAGAAAAGGTCTTATTTTGCTTTGTGATAAATTGCCTTGAAAGTATAACTCTCTAGCTTAAATAAATTTAACGCTAGTGATAGGCAAGGCTTCTTTCCTCACCGGCCTGTGAGTTCTCGTCAAATTTTAGCAGAGAATCCTCTGGAAGCTTTGGGGTACCTCCTGTGGGTTGTCTTTTAGAAAATAAGGAAATTCAGAGGGGCAATGCAGCTAAAAGGGTTTTTGGCTCATCGTGGCAGTCCTAGAAATAGGGCAGATCTCCAAGCCAGAGTCCTTGACAAAGCTTTGGAACAAACCCTGCCCCATATCATAGAAAGCAGCATAGTAACTCTTAAGGTGAGAGCTTAGCATGTCTTTAAGATGAACCTGACATAGAAGAAAACCCAGCACTGTAACTGATCCAAGATGTTTTTGCATCTTTTTTGCTTTGGTTTAACCTTACTAGGGCTTGGCACCCCTGACTTTGGGCTTTCTTCTTATCTTTACTCTATCCAGCAAGTGTCCTTAATGGCTACTGAATGGCCGCTGTCAGAATACTCAATAAGAGCTGGCAGCTCATTGGCTGCTAGCTCTGTTTGGCTGACAATTTTCCAACATGCTCCTTCGATCAGCTGATCAAGGGACACTGGTCGGAAAGGTGCCGATGGCGGCACCCAAGCATCGATTTTCAGCCGGTTCATCAAGAACTGGCCAAAATTTGAAGCGCGGATACCCAGCTTAAGACTCTTGCAGAGGAGGCTTTTCAGACTAATAATGGTAACAGACACTTAATAGTGGTTTGGTGTTTGGTGGAATTGTCAGTTTTCAAGTTGTCAAGTTTTTGCTTTAAGGAACATTGGCCTTCATTTAGCTAGTATTTGTGTCTTAACTTTGTGAGGCAAACGTGTGAAATTGTCTCATGCCAAATGTATTAATTAACTGTATTAATTAGTTACACGACACTATTAATGACACTAATTAACTGTAAAAATACCAGAATTATTTTTTTTTCTTCTCAGAAGTAAAAAAAAAACCAAAAAACTAATAGAGATGATTGTTTGAAAAAGTGATCTCAGAGATTGACCTTGCAACTAGGTATGTCCAGTTTCCATATAACATCATTCTATGACAGGTGGGTACATAAGTTCCCATTGATTTCCCTGTGTCATAAACTAGCTTGTTGTTCAGAAAATTAAAATGCGTGCTCACTTTTGCTTAGACAATCAATGCTGGAAACTGTATCAGCCTTTTATGAATGTCAGATTTCGGAGTGTTAAGCTCATGCTATGTTACTTCTGAAACATGCCCTCTGATTTTAAATATATATTTTGAATCCTGACTTTGCATGGAAATTAGATGATCGGGTTAAATAATCAGTCATTGAAAAGTATTGATGGCAGTCTTGGCTAATCTGTTACAAATTGTGATCTGATAGTTGGCTGGCCCCTAATAGTCCCAAGTGTTGTGCCATATGCATGCTTGTATTACAAAGGTCCTACAGCCCGGCCTTTAGGGCACACAGGATAGTCAGTTGTGATTCGTAACAAATCATCAGGGCCATGTCACACAAAGCAACTTTGTAGCAGCTACACATATCTTTGCTTATTTTCTCTGGCGAATTGTAGCCAGTTATAGAAATGCTGATGTAGCTGCCTACAATGCTTATCTATACAGCTACAAATCACTGGTGTGTGCTATGATCATCAACAGTTGCATAAGATAACGTGAGAAGCTACTGAGGCGGGTGATTCTGTTGCCAACTCCAAACGCTGCAAAAAGTCAATTGCTCAGTGATTCAGCTACAAATCACCTGGCATTCCTGGAACATAGACTTTCATTGACTGCACTTGTTTCTAGCAACAAAAACATTAAGTAGAGCAATTCTGTAGATGCTAAAAATCGCTACTACAAAATCGCTTGTGTGATAGGGGCCTAACAATGAGTTCCAGGTGTATCTGATATATTTGTTGTTGGCTGTTTGCCAAATTTTTAGATCATTTACTTTTTGCCGAAATTATTTTTACGATCTAAAGTTTTGTGACCTTATCGTGTTGACATTTGTGATCAGATATAGATGTGCTTTTACATAGAAAATTAAAGCAAATACCGTGTTTACAAGAAGCCCTCCAGCACCCCATTTTTATTTTTTGGAACATGTTTTGTATAGTGTTGGTAGTGGTTTGTATATTTTATTCCACAGAAACACATTCCTTGAAAGCTGAACTCCAGGCAGATTAAAAAACACTTTCATCGTGAACTATATTGTAAATGTGGCTAGTCTTGATATCAGCCTTCTATAATCCTCTGCACAGGAACACCCACGACTAGAATGGAAGGGCCAGCTTAAATGCATGTGTAGTGATGGGCAATATGCTCACAGCAGTAGAGAGATGACTTCATGAGGATTACTGATCCTTCATTGTCACAGGGTAGGGGCAGTGCGGTGACCATGCTGTGTTGCTTAACTGCAGTACAATAATGTCAGGTCACCAGCCTGGCCATGATGTGTGGCAGGGCCATGTAACTCTCAGTACTGGGCAGACAAAAAGACAAACCCATTGACACATAAAACAGCTCCCATATATGTATCGCATATGTGTATTTAAGCTGCTTGCCTGGAGTTCAGGGTTCCATTTAGTTCCTAATGAAGCATTTCAACTTTTTTTGTTGTAAGGAAGGATTTGTTTTCTTGTTTTTAATTGTAGAGAATATTTAATGAGAACACTAACCTCCCTTAACTCTATATTGGTTGCAGAGTTCATCCTTTTTATTTTTTGTATGCCTCTGCAGTGTTTGGACTTTAAAGTAACCCTCACTTTTTATCCAATAGCTCAAATTGTCAATTCCGTCTGTTTATGACAATATTAAGGCTGTTGTGGCTTTGATATGACAGCTTCCCCAGCACTTCTTGCTTAACTACATCTATTTTGCACCATATAAATATGTGAAAGATTGCCCAGTGGGGTCTTGCACATCCCGTCCAGTTTAAAAGAGAAAGCATACCCATACAGGTTATGGTGAGAAGGGACTAAAACAATCAAAATGCCTACAACTCTAATCACTACTTTGGATGTGAATCTGGCCGGTGTGGTTTAAAGGAAGGATTTTGCATGGCTCTGTCCATTGTCCTGAAATGAGGAATTATTTTATTATTTTTGGGATCTGTAAATGGAAATAGACGTGTGAATACCTTCCAGTTTACAGTAATGTCCCGATATGAAATTTGTCTCTTTCCTGTGTTTTAATGGATCTGCTCAGTACTGTGATTCTTCAGTGGAGGAGGAATGAGTGCCTAAAAACATTGTTTTCAATAGTATACAACAGAGAAGGTGCTCCAACACTGGTCAGTAACCTAGACTTACAAAGGATGTCCTCTTATACTTCAAGTGGGAAAATCCTCTTAAATGCTATATTGTCATTCTGCTTTTGTCAGTGCACACGTATTGCAGTTTAGTATACCATCTCCCATATTTAAATGATGCTTCATGAAGGCAAAACTGTGAACACTTTATAAGCATATTGTCTTAAGGCTTTCACCTCGTAACCTTTTTTTTTTTCTTCTTAACAAAGAAACACAGGCCTTTGTATTGATGCCCCATGTGTATTGTTTGATATTTAGTGTTAAAGGATAAGTGCCAAAATAGTTGGGGTTTCAGCTGCATGGTTTATAAAACCCCCTTTTGTGTTTCATAGGATAGAAAATGCTATTCTGGTTCATTCTTTTCATTTATTCCTATTCAATTAGATTATGTGTATTGTAACCCAGCAGTGAGCACTTAAACAGAACTCCGACCTTGGTAAAATATCTGAAAGAAGGACCCCCTTTGCAGTGATCTTTTTTTTTTTTTAATGTAAAATACCTTAAAATATATTTGTAGCCAAATATTTATTTTGTTTTATATGGAGCATTAGAACCCCTGTTACGTGTACAGGCAGGGGAGAGTTACAGATTGTAATGGTGTCACCAGGGCAAGATGTGAGGACACTTGTACCGGTGACAACTACCTCCCCTAATTTTGGAGAGATTTCTTTTTATTTCCTTTTGCGTCAAGTCAGAAATCTCCCCAATAGGACACTGGCAGCAGTAAAATAAACTGATGGGTTTTAACCTTTCCCTACTGTATTCAAAACAAACAAGTTTTGGCTATGCTAACACTTAAAAATCTAGAGCGTATAAGAGGAATCGTGGGCAGCAGCTTGTATGTAATATATGTGATTACATTCCCAGAAACACTCTGCTTTGTTTTGCGAATATGTGGGTGTGAAGGGATCTGATTGACTGGCACTCATGTCACTGCATACACCTGCCCTCAGTCTACGCAGAAAGTTCTGCTTTCTGAAGTTACTGGTGACTTTGCATTCAGTATAGTTGCCAGCATTTTTCTCCAGCATCACCAGTTCAACCGTACTGTGGTGTTACTGTAATTCCCAGTAGGTGTGTTTACTGATTGCGTGCACTGAGGAAATGTAACATTTTGCCGGCATTTTTTTACCCTATGTATGAGCTGAATTTTTCTTCTTTACCTGGAGTTTCACTGTAGGAATTCATAAACCAGTCAATGTAAAACTTTGCTGTAAGAATTAAAAATTTTTTTTTATGTAATGCTAATCCTTCCTGGGGAAAAAGTGAATTTGCTGATGTTAACCCACAACGGTTCTTTACTCATTTTGCCTACAATATTTTATACATTATGACACAGCAATGTATACCATAGGGCTAATTCACACCCCTGCAGTTTAAATTTGGTGCCATGCATTTTGCATGCGATACCCGTCAGTCCTTTTGAAAATACAGTGCTGGGAACCACACCAAAAAATGCAGTAAATAAAATTACACAAAAGGCACCATACTAAAATGCATAGATGTAAACTGTGCCTTAGGCTGCATCCTCCTGATGTCACTGGGATGCATAGGCTTGGCAGTTTCCAGCCATTTACTGAATGCAGCGTACAAGTCATCTTGTTAGGAGTTCCTCTGGTCAACTAGACATAATGGGTTGACCACCAGTATTTCTATCACTAATAACACCAGGACAAGAGCTGCATTCTGTAGACTGTTGAGAGCCTCTCAGCTTTAATGTAAACACCTCCTTGCAAACCTGTTCATTAGGGCTGGATGGATAACTGTTTTTTGTAGCCCTGCTGTTAAGACCCACCACTGTACAAATCTCCTGAATATCTGTGTAGGTGTCATGGGTGAGATCACAGAAGAGCAGAGGACAAAGAATGGTGGCACTGGATCTTAATAAGAGGGTTACAAATGCAATTACTGTATATCTTTGCCATAGTCTACTCAAGTCCTCTTCTACCTAAAACCACAATCTCCTTGTTTTTGATGATATTTTGTAGCATAGTACCCATTCTTATGAAATGGGGGGAAAAAAAGATGTAGAGAAAGTGATTAAGCTAAATACAAGCACAACATTACTAATTCATGGCTTTTATTAAAAAAATAACCCCCTGTCAAAAAAAAACAACTTGTAATACACTTGAACTTCACTATGATGGGTTTAGAATAACAGGGATACTGTAGTATTTGTCAGGCACCATGACATATTGAAGCAAGCTGGTTTTATAAAGTACCAAGTAAGACAATGAATGACTTGATAACTAACCAATCGTTGATGTTCTTTCCAGATATTTCTGTATACGTGGAACAGTTAAACCACATGCGGGGACCTTTTGATTTATTTTTAGATTTTTAATCCTATGTGACTTTACATGTCCTTTTAATATTCTGCTGCTTCCTCACTTTTCTGAATGTACTGAAGATGTGGAACATTCTCCACTCAAGGAATAGCAGCAGAATTTGAACGGACCTCATTCACTGATATGTACATGCTATACGCTCCAAGATATACCCGGGCAGCCTGCACCCTTCACTCCTTTCCTTGAACTGACACTTGTTCCCTTGTGCTATCTTCCTTTTTGCTCATATGCACACACTGGAATCTGATTTTCTTATTGTGCTCTTGAAAATAAAATGTTTGAAAGTGGAACATGTTTCTGCAGATGGTGTCTAGTATGTTTTGTGTCTGTTTTTTTTTTTTAAATGTAAAAAAATAAGAGGTTAGATGAACAGAATATGGCTACGGTCGATGTGTTAGGTTGGTGATCACAATAGAATATAAAAAAAATAAAATGGCTAACAGGGTTATTCACAAAAAGGTGAAGAGTTTGGAGAAGGCAGGAGAAGTGAACAATCTAGGACAGCGGTGGCGAACCTATGGCACGCGTGCCAGAGTGGGCACGTGGGGCCCCCTCTGCTGGCACGCGAGCCTAGGTCCGCATTGCCAAAGGGACGCAGCTATAGCGGTCCCAGTCCAATTAATATTGCTATACAGTAGTTCCCTCTCTTCCCCCGCTGGACTGACAGCAGAAGAGAGGGGACTATTTTACCATTTTCGGCTGCCGCGGAGGAACACGGATAGCTGAATATTGCTGCGGGGAAGACTAAGTTTCTAGTTACGCCTCTGCTGTGTAGTGCTCACTTTCATTATAATGTATTGCTGGGACTTGTAGTCCCGCATAGCTGGTGGTATTCTGCATTGCTGTATGATAATTATACAGCAATGCAGAATAGCCCCACAGAGAGCCCATATAAACCACCTGAAAGCCCTTATAGACCACCCGAGAGCCACACTGCCCCCCTGAGAGCCCGCACAGCCCCCAGAGAGCCCAAACAGACTACCTGAGAGCCCACCTGAAAACCCTTATAGGCCACCCGAGAGCCGCACAGCCCCCCAGAGAGCCCATAATACCACCAGAGGGACCACAGAGCCCACCGAAAAGCTATAATAGACCGTCTGAGAGCTGCACAGCTCCCCTGAGAGCCTGTACAGACCACCATAAACCCCACAGAGCCCACCTGAAAGCCGCACAGCCCCATGAGAGCCCATACAGACCACCTCAGAACTGCAGAGCCCCCCTGAGAGTATTCAGGTCTAATTTGAAGGGTTGGCACTCTGAGATACATAAGTTGGTTTAGTGATCCAGTTTGGGCACTCCGGCTCAAAAAGGTTCGCCATCACTGATCTAGGACAACATAGCTGATTTGGAAAAATTCAGCTCACTTTCCAGTTTAGCTATGTTGTCCTAGATTGTTCACTTCTCCTTCCTTCTTCAAACTCTTCACCCCTTAGTGAATAAGCCTGTAAATCTATATAATTAGACTTCTAGAAATCACTAAAAAATGAAAAATTTAAGTTGTTCCTGGCAACCAGCGAGCAAGCTGAAAACTGGACTCCAGGCAAATATAGAAGAAACACATTCATACAGCTCTGTATTCATAATGCATTGGTTTTTTTTTTTCTTCATGCAAGCAGTGGAAGTACCTGACGTTGACTTGTTAGCCTCTCACAGTATATGTACAGCAGAGCTCATACCGGGAGGAGAATTGGCACAAGGAGACGGTTAGTTGTGCTCCTGTGCTTACAAGTAGAATGCTGATAGAAAAGTAGGGTGACAGATGCTCTCATCAGTCTGCTGCTTCTCCTTTCACTGTCTAGTCATAGGCTCAGGACAGGAAGTAGAACTGTAAGTATCCGTTAACTGCAGTAGAGAATTACAGATACTTTGGCAGATTCCTATAGAATCTCCCAAAACAGTTCCCATAGCTCAGGGATGTCCAAACTCCGGCCCTCCAGCTGTGGTGAAACTACAAATCCCATGAAGCATCTCTCCGGGAGTCATTTCTGTGGCTGTGAGAATCTTGCAAAGCCTTATGGGATTCGTAGTTCCACCACAGCTGGAGGGCCGCAGTTTGGACATCCCTGCTAGCTGTATTTTATCTGTGTATTGGAGTTTGTCCATCTTTCAATTTGAAAATGAAAGCTAAGGACTCGTTCACATGAGTGTGCGCACCAGTGCAGAGACCTGCTCCCGGGAGGGACAGGTGCTATGTGTAATTAGAAGGAAACCTTTCCGGAAAGAAAGATGAACATCACTATTGCTGACCTCTTATTCTGTAAATGTGAACTGCCAGGCTGCCATGCTTTTCTTTCTGCTACAATAGTTTGTCTGTGATCCAGAATAAATATGCAGATATCGTCTTCTGACTTTCCTGACCTGTGTGTGTTCTGGATCAGTACATATGTATTCCAGAATCCTGCTGCACTCCTTACCGGGTATCCCTGGCAGCGTGGGTGCTCGAAGTGGCCACGGTTGGCACCACCAATACTGAAACTTGTTTCAGTATTGAAGTAAAGAACAGGTCTGTTTTATTGACGCTTCATGTCAAAACAAATACCAATGTTTTTGGGCCACACAGGGTCCCCTTCATCAGGCTTGAAATTACATTTCAAGCCTGATGAAGGGGACCCTGTGTGGCCCCGAAACATTCTGGATCAGTGCCTCCTAGAAGTATTTAAGCCCGGGAGTCAACATAAGAGCCAGACGACCAGCGTTTTTCATAAATAAGGTCAGCAATGGCACCATATTGTGTGGATCCTTTAAATACTCCAGGCATGGGATACTTTATCTGAATTTCCCATTCTGCCAAGTCAGCTCTGTCCTCGAGTCTCATCCCTTCTGCTGCAGCAGGAGAATCTCTTCTCTCCTGATGAATTTCACTTTATGTAAGATAAATAAATCTAACAGGGAATGCCAACTACTGGGAACTAGATATATTCTTGCACACGTGTGATATTCTTGCACACGTGTGATATAAATTAAAAAGTAAAATGCATGAGCAATCAAACACTGTTTAATTAAAGGGTTATTAAACCCTCCGTTTTTTTTGCATATATCTACTGCTAGCAAGCAGTAGATATATGCAAAAAGTGTAAAAAACAAACAAACCCCGCTTTGAAAAGGGTTAATACTCACCTGTGTCTTCCCCGCGCGCTCCCGTCCGAAAATGTGAAAATTCTCGGGCGGACGCAAAGCATCTTGGGGCGGACGCATGCGTAGTTCACCTTTTCAGCTTGGGCGCGAGGAGAGACACAAGGTAAGTCTATGGATGCGTGCACACGCATGCAGACACCGTGGGACAGGAAGTGCCAGCAATGACAGAGGAGTCAGCGCTGGATCGGAGACCTGCAGCAGCACTGGAGGGACAGATGAAAAGGACAAGAATATCGTATTAAGAAACATCATTGAAGGTAAGTGCTTACATTAACATTGGGGGGAGGGAAAAAGATTTTTGACTTTAATGTCATTTGTAAGCTTTCTATAGTTCTACTTTAAAAACTTTCAGAGATTTTTTTTTTTTTAGGCAGCACTAGTTGGACATCAGCATAATGGAAACCAAAAGATAAGTATACAGAGCTGAGAAAATGGTCTAAGCACCCAAAGTGTTTAACCCCTTCATGACTGAGGCCTTTTTCTCATTTTTTTGTACCCATGTTATATTCCACATTTTAGGCCTGAAAATTACTTAAAACCCCCCAACATTATATATTTTCTGAATGCCAAGACCCTATAGAATAAAATGGTGGTAGTTGCAAATTTTTATGTTGCGCAATATTAGCGCAACTCCTTATTAAACCCCAATATTTAGTGAAAAATTTAATTAAATGCCCCAAAACACAACAAAATAACAATTTTTTAATAAAATATAAAAGATAAGGTTACAACAAGTAAAACGATACCCAAACAAAAGTCACCGGGAGTCTGTTTAAACAGCCCCCGATGTACGTCGTCAGTCACGAAGGGGTTAAAAACAACATCTCATAGAGCTCTGCTTACTCAGGAGATCTGGAAAAAAGAGCTATAATATTGTAACGGAATTAAAATGGTCATATCAATATACATATTGATTGTAGGACAATTATTTTATAAACTGGTATCACCACTTGCATGTACAGAAGTAAAAATGTTCCCAGAAAATATAAAATTAGGAAATCTGCACCACAAGGAAAGGATATGAAACAACTACAATCCTAAAAGGTAATAGTAATACATGTAAAGCTGTGCACTGTTTTACAAGGTCTGATGTATAGTGTATGTAATATTCATAGGGGGGAATTTATCAAAACTGGAGTAGACAGGATCTGGAGCAGTTGCCCATGACAACCAATCAGCATCTCTCTTCAGTTTGCTCAGGTAACATTTGAAAATGAGACAGAGAAGCTACGGTAATTGGTTGCAGTGCAAATCTGCTCCAGTTTTGATAAATTCCCCCCCTAGTGTTTTGACAGTACTTACTAGCTGTAGGATGTAGCACGTTCACCGATGTATTAGAAATAAATGTCCAAAAAGGAGAATAAACATCCAACACAGGATTGTATTCAGGTACCTAGGGTTATGCTGCTGCCTTCAGGAGATTGGACGTTGGCAAAGCAAACCTGTTCGGATGGCCCTGCAAACCTCTCTCACTCCCACAGCAAGCCTGTTTTTGGTCAGAGTCCTTAGGAGACGGAAATCTCCTAATTTTTAGATCAAGATATTTTTCTTCTAGCAAATTTTTAAAATTGCTGTAAAAAACCTAGGGCTCATTTTACAGTTTTCCTGATCGGCTGATCCTTGGCGTAGCCTTAGAGGTCATACCCGGGTTCCCGCTAGGCAGAAGTCACAGGGCCGGTCTGTAATGTGCCTGTCGTGCACTGGGCAATGCTAAATGACCACCCTCTGTGGTCCTCTGTGGCTAAAGACTACTAAAGGAGTAAGTGTCATCTTACAGATGCATTGTTATATACCTAACATTGTTTCCTCTGTCCCTAGTATTTTGTCTCAACCCCTCTACATAGTTCAGTTTTGTATTTGTGTAGATAGCGCCACCCTTCTTCATTATGTTCTAGTCTGCTTCTTCTCCACATATCCTTTGCTAAGTGGATCGCATTATGATCTTTTGACCTATCCAATGTTTGCTTCTGCAAAGATCTGCACAGTTTGGATTAAACTTCTTCACAATCTTCAAGGTGTCATCTGGATTGAGTCACTTTCTGCCAACACTATTAAAATAGGAAATTATTGCCATCTCACCACAACTGTAAGTTAGAGATCATACTTTCAATGCTTAGCCTGGGGAGGCAGAACAGAGTCTGCCGGGAGGGCAAAGTCTTGGAGGAATCCTGAACCTGCATGGGTTGCTCTCTATGTGGTGAGGGGGCCACACCATAATTGATGGGCTGGACCTCTGACTTTATTGGTGAGCCCTGGGGTGTGTGCCTGGCAGCATTCTTTTTCGTAAAAGAGAGAGTCACCCACACACTAAGGTCCAATTCATCAATATGTCCCTTTTATTGACATCAGATACACATGGCATCACATGCATAAGCAAATTTTGTGAACCTAACACAGTCCCTTCATCAGACAAAAAACACTGTAAATTGTGGCAGCATTCTAATTCTATTTCCCCTTAGGACTTAGAGTGGTGCTCTTGCCTGTGACATTTACTTCACTGTCAGCAGCATGTGGAATGCAGTACCATTTAAATCTGGTGCCATTTCTGTTCCAAAGACTTAGTGTCTTGAGTGTGGTGCCCCAGTTTCCTGGATCATTGTGCGCATGCAGGTGTCACTTTGTCAAGGCATGCACAGCTGGTGCCACACTGTAAGTTCTGCAGTCTGCACACACCCAATGATCCTCAGGATGAGTCTCCTTGCTGTGCACATGCGGAGGACCCTTTGGCTAAAGGGCTAGTTGGTCTGTGGAAAATCCGTGAAACAGAAATGCTAAGTAAGCCATTCATAGGAGAACGCCTCATTGCTACTACCTTGAAAAAGTCTGCATATTTTTGTCACTTTTCACGTATCCTGTGCCCTAACCCTCTCCCCTTATGTTTATGATCCCCAACTATATTAATCTTCCCGGTGCCCCGTTTCTTCTACCTCAAAGAGTCAAGGATTTAGTCCTGAGATTTGAAATGCTAGCCCACAGAGTCAACTGGGGATCCTCCTCACCTGTCTCCCAGTGGTGCTACACTCTTTGTAAACATTTTGCAGGCCGATACATAGTTACATAGTATTTGGGGTTGAATAAAGACATACGTCCATCAAGTCCAACCCATATAGGTCCACGCATCATCTCATTCTTAGGGATACTGGTATCCCTGGATATTACGGTCCCTCAAGAAATTGTCCAAACGTTTCTTGAACAAATCTACACTCTTGGCTGAAATCACTGCCAATGGCAGTGAGTTCCAGACCTTAACCGCTCTTACTGTAAAGAACCCTCTTCGCCCATTGTGCTGGAATTTTTTCTCCACCAACTTTAGGTGGTGGCCTCTAGTCTTTGTAATGGAGTTAATCTCAAACAGTTTGTTGCCAATGTTGCTCTCACCATTGAACATCTTGTACATGAAAATCATATCCCCCCTTAATCTCCTTAATTCCAGCGTAAACATGTTTAAGGTCAGAAGCCTTGTCTCATAGCTCTGATCCTCCATTCCCCATACCAGTTTGAGAAGTCCTTTATTAAGAAGGGAGCTTTTCCCACTGATTTAGCGGTGTCCTGACTTAATGAAGTACTAATGATACCTGTAGAGGATATGCCAGTATTTAAGGATCCCATTAGATATGTGCGATTCGTTTCGTTCCGAATCGAAATTCGGACGAATTTTCGGAAATTCGGATGTATCCGAATTCCGAATTACAGACATAACGAATGCAAACGAATCCGAATTTCCATTTCCGAAATTCGGTAGCGTTCGTACGAACGTTCGTTTCGTTTTCTGTTCTTATTCGTTTCTTATTCGTTTCTTATTCGTTTCGTTCGTTGCAGCAAAGTGACATTAGAAAAGGAGAAAAATATTTTTTCCCCCTCAAATGTCACTTTTGCTGCAAACGAACGAAACGAATAAGAAACGAATAAGAACAGAAAACGAAACGAACGTTCGTACGAACGCTACCGAATTTCGTCCGAATCCGAATTCCGAATCCAAATTGACTTTCACACCCGAATCCTGAAAAACGAAATAACACAAATCCGAATTTAAAACGAAACGAAACGAATTTTTTGGCAGTGCACATGTCTAGATCCCATAGATAAACATTTGGAGACACTTTCCAAAACTGTTTTCCTAATGGCTTTTTATGGCCCTGGTGCTAGTTTGTGAGGCTTGGCTTTAAAAGTGTTTACTGCACATGCCTTCAAGGAACAATGCCCAACATTACCTCAAACCCTGGGCCCCTAACCAGCAACATTAATTTTTTATATTAAGGGATGTCCCCACTTTTCATAGTTGGGCGAAGTTTGTTAGCCCTTGTGGACACCTGGATACACAGCATCTCTGTGTTCTTAGTTTCCTCCCCGGTTCGTGTCTTTCAACCTTCCTGTGTCACTACAAAAGATTAGTAGACCTCCATGCAGATCTTCTTTCCCAACAAGGGATTATTTCCCCAGTTCCTGTGGTGAAAATGTTCCAAAGATCCTAGTTGTGTTTATTTTTCATGGAATCCACCAGATCGGTCATAGCCTTCCTCTATCAGTGAGATTTTCTGGCCTCTGTAGACATCGGACACGCACACTTGCATGTCCTAATTTATCCATGAAATCAGCAATTCTTTTGCTGTGCTGACAGTCCCTAGCATTTTCAATCCATAGCCCTGACATCTGGCCTTTCCTCCACACCTTGTGGGTTCATCAAAGCTCTAGCCCCTGTTTGCATTGTTATACTTCAAAGGTATTCCTATTGTGGGATATTTGGCTTGTTGATGGAACAGTCAGCACCCTAAGTCTGGTACCGACAATGTGATATAGACAGTTCTGACCTTGAACAGGTTCGGTTGCGTCCTCAACCTACAGAAGCCTGCATTGTAGCCAACTCATCACTTGGAGCATCTAGGTCGGATACTAGACACAGGTCAAGTCAGTTTTCCTTCCACAAGAGAAACCTCAAACACTCCACTCCCAGACTCTGACTTTTTAGTCTAGGAGTCAATGGACTGAAAAGTCAGGGGTTGTTGTAAGCCTCCTTCGAGACAGTCCAGTTTGCCCAGTTCCACTCCAGATCCTACAACTCAACATGCTTTCATCATGGGACAAATCAGTTCAGTCTCTGGACAAACTAATTTAAATGTTATCAATGCCCATGTTGTCTTTGGCCTGGTAACTTAGGAATCCAGCTCGACTTGGGGAAATCCTTCTGAATAATCTCTTGGAAGATATTCAAAATGGATGCAACCCTTTCCTGTCAAGGCACACACTGCTGGGTCTGTGAGTACTTATTGTGCTTTTTAACATCAGAAAGCCATTTGCCAGATTTGCAGGGCTGCTACATTTTCTTCATTTCACACATTCTCCAACTTTTACCAGGTGGATCTTCAGGCCTCATCTGATGCCAGCTTTGGGTAAAAGGTTCTTCAGACAGCCCTTTGAGCTGCAGGCAGTTCCCCGTTTTCTGTTGTTTATAGTGCCCCTGGTAGCGTTTGGTTTGCTGTGTTGACTATCCCTCAGTTGGACTGAGGGGTGGACAACAGAGTTCAAAAAAAGAGAATAAAAATCCCCAAAAATGTTCCAAAAGAAACATATGGGACAGAAATTGTACTAAAAAGTAATATCTCATGTGAAACTCTTTAGTATATACACTGAGTGGCCAGATTATTATGACCACCCCATCAGTACTTCGTTGGGCCACCTTTTGCCTTCAATACTGGAGCGATTCTTCTTGGCATTGACTCCACGAGATGTTGAAAGGTTGAAAAAAAACTGATAACATTTAACCATATTACCATGTTCATGAAGGGAAAAAGGTATAATAATGCCTTAATGGATCTTTGCAAGGTAGAAAGCCCCAATGCACACAAGGATAGGGAGTTACTCATGTACCATATAACTTTACCCTTTCATGAAACAGTAATCAGTGCTGCCAGATACAATCTAATAGAAGAGCAACATGTGCACAGCAAAAAGAGAACTACAGGATATGATATCTTACATGATGTCACCATACCCTGTAGTCCTTGTATCCATCTTTTAATTTGTACTAATTAAAATTTGTTTTCGTAATCTGATGGCACCTGAAAAGTCCAGAGGTACTCTATATTTGTTCCGACATAAAACAGAAGTCACCAAGTTCCGCAACTAGATTGATTGGTTATGTACTGTATGTGAATAGTCTTAAAGGCGCTCCAGTTATACTGGTAGTTAATCCAGAGAAGATGTATGCACTGATGCTGCAGCCTGGTTAGTTGGATTTGTTTCGGTGGTGTGTCAGTAAAAGTAAAATCTGAGGATAACTGTAGATGCTCATAAATCTTTTCATGTCTTATTAACTACAATGCAGTTAGTTGACTTTACGGACAAATAATGAGATGATTTCTTCATTAGCTGTGTAATCTGCAAATGATTCATAAATTCTGCTCTGTACATTTATCATAAAATATTCAACACTTCAGACCAACTTCATGAAATTATCATCGGATTTCTAGAGTGGCATCTGAAATGCTTACTACAATGGAGCAGGATTCATATACAGAATGAATAATAAACTCAAATACAGTGTTTTCTTCCTTCTATACACTTGTAAACACTACAGAAAATAAAGAATATTTTTGCACAATTGTGTTTTACATGCATTACCACTAGATTTTGTTGGCCATATCCATTGAGGTGGATACTAACAAGCCTTTGACCTGATTTTCTATGGCATTTTTAGTAATTTCTGGTGTGCTCTTGCTTGACCACTAGGTGTCTCACTTGTAATATTAAAGAGCCTGTGCAGTCTGTCAGGAATGGAAGTAGATATTACATAACTGGCCACTGGCCATGGATTTGTTTGCTGTACTGTTCTTGTCTTTTTATGCCGACAGGCTCTTACTGGAGGAACTTTACCTTTTCACTTTTGAAAACTTGAGTGGCAGTTTTGCACACATGGGGTTTGCGCACTTGGAATTTTCAACTCACACTTTTTTGGAATCAATAATTTACCATTTGTTATTTTGGCAATTTTTTCACGCCTGAAAAATTAATATATCTATTTTTTACAGTCATAGAAACTGCAATGTAATCTCTAAACATATTCCTTAATATACTGCGGGTTAGGGTGACCCTAAAACTCTCCCTGAACCTCAGGCAAAATTGACACTTTCATGGTAATAGATGGTATATTATTATTTGGATACAAAGCATAAAAAATATTGGTTCCCATGTTTAACACACCAAACTAATCGGTGCTGAAAAAACCTTCAGTGGAATGCCTATGGTCAGCAGCAATCATCTTGTCATCGAAGTAAAGGTCCACCTGAGTTTAGAGAAATCATATCTTCTTTTCAGTTTTTATTATGAAGGTGTATATAGTGGACATCTCTGTCTGGAGTTCCTAGAATAACACATCTCAGCACTTTTTTTTTCTTACACCTGGGTTATATAAATAATACAGGTAAGGGATATCTCTGGTCTTGTCATCACTGACCTACTTCTGAGAATGCTCATCTCTGGCTTCTACAGAGCTGTGAGGAGAATTTATCAAAGCTGGAGCAGACAAAACCTGGAGCAGCTGTGCAAGGCAACCAATCATCATCTCTCATTACTGAACAAAGTGAACAGAGAAGGCGATTGGTTGCCCAGGGCAACTTCTCCAGATTTTGTCTGCTCCAGTTTTGATAAATACCCCTGTGTCTTTTACGCCATGCTAATATCTTTGCTGAGGAGTGCTTTGTACTATGATGACAGACACATAACAGCTGCAATGAACCAGTGGCACCTGATAAAGCCATTACTGAGAGGTTAGACAGTGTGCATGCTATATTCTATACAGGTTCACCCAGTAGACTTTAACTGGAGTTGTTGCAGGTATGCCCAACTTTAAAAATATCCTGGGGCAGTCTCTGATTACACTGAAAAGATTTTAACCCACATAGAGATTAGGGATGCACTGATACTGGTTTTTCGGTATCGAGTACCAATATTTTTTTTTCCGCTACTCACCGATACCAGTGCCTTGTACCCTGATTATAAGGTAGCCGTGAGGCGGATCATGACCCGGTGCCTGGCTTCCTGATTGCCTGGGAAGCCGGTGTTCTATGAAAGAATAACGGCTTCACTTCCCGAGGCTGGCTCCATGATTGATCAGGAAGCCAGGCTGCCTAGCAACAATTGAAGCTGGCTTCCTAGCAAATCAGTAAGCCGGCTAGCACGTTATGACCCCGCCTCCCAGCTTCCTGATTGGCTAGGAAGCCGGCTTCACTTGTTACTAGGCAGCCTGGCTTCCTGACCAGGAAGGAAGCCGGGAGGCGGGTCATGACGTGCCGCCCGGCTTCCTGATTGGAAAGGAAGCCGACTCCATACTTCCTTGGCAGTACGGGTCAGAGGGACATGTCCCTCTGACTGGAAGTTCCGGTATCGGAGGTAAGTATCGGACCATTATTAACACTACTGATACCCTCAATAAGAACTTGAGTCTTAAAGCAAGCAAAGAATGCCCTGATTATGATATTATTTTAAAAAGTCATCTAGAATTAGCAGGTGAAAGATGAGACAAACACTCACAAGCTGATTCTATAATGTTCTCTAGAGATAAGTATATTAGTGAGAATGCACTCCACTGGCACCTTATCAGTCATTTGTTTTTGTGTCTAAGTATACAAGTATTTCCATATGACTCTTGTTTTGGCCTAGCTTGCTCTAGGAATGGTAGTATCATGCTTGCACCAGCAACCACCTACTAAGATTGATGTGCAACGTTATGAAAATGTGGAATAGTCTACCAAAGAACTGGTTCTTGTTGACTAATATTAGTAAGAAAATGTAGCATGACGATCCAGGGAGTATCCAGTTGCCTTTAGCGATAAGGAAGAAATTAAACCTTGTTGGAGCAAATTGCACAATGTTTTACAAGGGTTTTTTGTGCCTTTAAATTTATTATGTAACTATGTACAACTTAAAGTGTATGGAAACCCTAACAATAAACTTCTCTTATGTGCTCCCTTTCGGTCTGCTAAATATACCATTGAAAGTGTTTTGTTAAATCCAAGAGAGGTTTTGAAGATGAGAAGGGGGACCTGAGGAGAGGTCTGCGTTCTTTGTAATGCATCAGAAATTAAGTAGGCAGGGCTGACGCCATGTGCTTAGGAAGTCAAAGCTGTGCTGTCATGTCAAAGAGATAAAGAGATTCCCCATGTTCTATCTCATAAATAGATAAAACATGGGGAAATGTGCATGTATTGCATAGTAAGATAGTAAATATGTTTTGTTTTTTTAAATTTCTTTGACATATGCTTTAACAATCTTAGTCTATGTTAATAGGTTCACAATGAGATTCATTCTGAGCATTTGTGATCATACACTTTACCTACAGCTCCTAAGGTAGTCTTTCTCTAATTCAGATCTATTCATAAAAGTTAAAATAAAACACATTACACACAATCTTTTGTCAGCTCACGGCTGAATATGACATTTTTATTTTGAATACATTAGGGATGCACTAGAATCGGTGCCAATACCTCGTACTTGCCCAAATGCTCTGATACTTACCTCCGATAATGGAACTTCCGGTCAGAGGGAGACCTCCCTCTGACCGGCAGTGCCGAGGGAGATAGAGGCGGCTTCCTTCCCATTTAGGAAGGTGGGTTAGGACCAGCCTCCCAGCTTCCTGATTGGCTAGGAAGCCGGCTTTACTTGTTGGTAGGCAGCCTGGCTTCCTCACCAATCAGGAAGCCGGGCGGCACATCATGACTCACGGCTTCCTGATTGGTCAGGAAGCCAACCTGCACAGCAACAAGTAAAGCCGGCTTCCTAGCTAATCAGGAAGCCGGACGGCACCTCATGACTCACCTGTCAGCTTCACTTGTTGCTAGGCTGCCTGGCTTCCTGACCAGTCAGGAAGCCGGACGGCACCTCATGACTCACCGCCGGCTTCCTGATTGGTCAGGAAGCCTGGCAGCCTCGGCAAGTGAAGCCAGTGTTCTTTTGCTAGAACAGCGACTTCACAGGCAATCAGGAAGCCGAGCGAGGGGTCATGATTAGCACTGAGTGTGATATGCTGCATGTACGTCAATAAATAGATGTATCTGATTTGCATCTGGACTGCCGGTGTCCATATTCATGCATAGAGACGGTGGCCATCCGTTGACTACCGTTGCACCCACCTAATCTTTATGGAAAAAGAGGTAGGAGTGTGATAAGTACATGGACTGTAACATGCTCTGCGGCCCGACTTCCTGATAATCATAATATAAAAATAAAAAAAATAGTTTGGTCATATGACAAAAAACTTCAATAAATTAAGCTTTTGCTATCTTAAAAGGACTGGTGTGCTGGTGACATTTCTACAATTTTCCTGATAATCAGGGCACACAGCACCGGTACTCGGTATCGGCGAGTACTGGAAAAAAAGAAAAATCAATGCTCGTACTTTATTCCGAAAAAACGGTATCGGTGCATCCATAGTATACATGCAATCAGAATATGAAAGAAGGAAGGAAAATCCTCAGTCTCATCACTAAAGCTTGTTTGACAGGAAAAATACTAAATATTTTTCCTCTACATGCCCCTATTATAGAATAATTGTATTATTTTTCTGCCATTTTTCAGCAGGGAGGGTGGCAGCTAGTCTCTCATAACCTGTTTTGCTGGCTCGTGATGAAGGGGAACACATAGCACAGGTGCGGCTGAGACCTGTCAGCTTGAAAAACTTGTTTCTCTAACTAGTCTTCACTTAGGTCTGGCTGCCATCCCCAATACACTTTCTTGAAGTATCTCTCAAGGGAGGTCTGATGTGCCTAGAGCTGGGACTCTTCAGCAGTAACCACTTTTTTTTCTTAAGTACTTTTTAAAGAATTTAGCTAGATTTACATGGATCATTCATTGCACTGCCTTGTGGGACCTTACTGGGAAAGAAGAAAAACCTTATCTGTGGATTGTTTGAGTAACTATTGCAACTGTATTTTGGATGCTTCTGTCTCTCCAATGAGATTTAAATGAGCAGGGGATGAAACTAGCAGCCAGGTGAAATTGGAGGATTAGGGTCTGCCAGTGTGGACATCTGGTGTTAACTTGTGATATGTCGTGGTGGTGTTTGTGGTGCTTCTGCCCTCCATGTCTGTCTGAAGATGACAAAGCATCACTGGCCATTGACAGAGAGATTAATAGGATGCTTAAATTCCACAAGAGCAGGGATCGGAGGGAGTTAAAAATCCTGCTTCTGGGTAAGTGTCACTAACATTTAGTATATTTTAGTGTATATGATAAGAAACTCAGCGTACCTGTCTTACATAAGATTTTAATTTTTTAGGAAGGGGGGCAATATCCTGATCGAGTTATCCTCTGAGTGCAGTGGCAGTCTTAGGTGAATCAAGGTAGTCTTGGTAATCATTTACACTGAAGACCTCTGCTGAAGAGAGCTTCATCACTAGAAAAGGGGTTTATGTACTGAAGGAGAGGAGACTGTTCACGCAGCAAGGTGACTGATCACTGAGCTTAGTGAGCTGATGTCTGTTCACTTCAGTCAATCAGTCACATCCTAGAACAATCTTGTTTCTTTCACTTATCTAACTGAAAAACTACTCCTTTAGTAATTCAGCCCTACTATGCTGATTCATGAATACTAGAGCAACAGAGGAAGATTTTTTCCTTATCATTCATTTGGCAGCTCCAAAGTAGTAATGATAGCAATAATGACTGTATAAGGGTGTGCTGAGAGCTTTACTTCCATTTTTGGTGTATTTATCTAGGTGCTTCCTTTAGAAAATAACCTTAAACATTCTCATAACATTTTATTAAGTAGAATACACTATGGGAGAAATTTTCAGCACTGCTAATAATATCAAATAGGTGACCAAGCCAAAACTTTTAAAAACATTTTTGTATAGAGTAGAGAATGATTTAGAGAATGATTTAAAACCCCTGACAAGTTTTTGTTGTCTGTATCCGATTGGCAAGTTCACTTCCTGTCTCTTTGACAACCTAAATTAAGTGGAGATTCCTCCAAAGTGATGTAAATCCTCTCTTAGACAGTTGTCACTAGAACAAGTTTCCCTATTATAAGTTTCCCCCTCTATTCCTGACTAAGAACTCAACATTTTAGATTTTCCTTCCCCAGTAGGACACAGACAACAATAAAAACCTGAGCAGTGGTAATTTCACCGACCAATAATTTTCATATAGTTTTCGTCAACACTTTTTCAGTGACTAAAACTAGACTAAAACTAAATAAAAATTAAATTATGATGACTAAAACTATAAGGAAAATATATTGAGATTTTAGTTGACTAACTAAAACTAGACTAAGATGTTAGGGGGAGACATTTGGGAAGAGATCCAATCAGAACTAATCTCTGGACTTCCATTTCGGTTCCATCCTGAATAAACGGCTAATAGGTAATATGTGCAATGGCATTGCAGCCAATATAGTTTTTCATTTTAATATTTTAGAGTTGCACATCTGCTTAAAAGAATGAAAAATGTCATACTGTATGCAAGTTGTTACAATCAATGCATATCTAATTACTGGTCCTTTGTTGAAAATACTCAGTATTGTTTCTTTATAGGACTTGGTTTAATCTAATTTTAAGATGTTCTATATCACAACAGTTAAATCTGTGTCTGTATTGCATGTTCAAACCTTAATACCATAAGTAATAACCGGTTAACAGATGTTTACTCCAGTATTTTTTAATGAGATTCGAAATTCTAGAGAAATTCTTAAATCACTCTTTAACTAAACCCACTAGATTTTAGTCGACCAAAATCTTATGATATTTAGTTGACTAAAACTAAAACAATTCAGATGACTAAAACATTACTAAAACTAAATGGCATTTTAGTCAAAAGACTATGACTAAAACTAAATTGAAATTTGCTGTTAAAATTAACACTGAACCTGAGGTTCTAACTCTTTCCGGTACTTTCTAGTACTGGTGGTGGGGTGACTGAGTTGTGTTTGGGGAAGAGAGGTGTGGATGCATGACAACATTGTCATTGATTTTAACTTGCAGTGGGAAAGTGATATTGTTTTTGGGATTTGAAGTTTTGCTATTTTGTACTCAAATTTGTATTAACGGATGATGGTCCTATAGTCACTTTATTTTTCTTTATATTTTTATATTTGCCTTTGGGTGGACCACCTAGTATCCTAATGCAATAATCGGTTTGAGATCTATCCCACTGTGTGTGAAAGTCTTTTTATATTATTTTGCATCATGAGGTTCTAACCCTTGTCTACTTTATCCAAAATGAGAAAACAACATCAGAACAACATCTGGCATTAGATGGCAGTTAGTTGTCAACAGACGACCCAGCTGTTGTGCAAGTATGTATATTTTCTTGGGCCGAATGTGCATGTTTGAGGAAGGGATAAAGAACAGATATCCTGAGACGTGGATATCTGCCATAGTCAGAGAGAGTCTACAGACTTACAAACATTCCCTGTAAATGGTCAGATATTGAAGATGCTCCCTATCTGAAGTTGCATTTTATATTAGATGTCACGAGTGCGAGACCAAGCTTCAATCTCCAGCACATCTTTGTGTTTCCTCTAAAAATTGTCATGAGGGTTACTGCGTCATCTGGATGACCGATTCAGTAGGTGTATGGTAGCACTGGACCAATCCAAGTCAGGGTTTATTTTCTGTAAATCCAGAAATTGACTTCTTTGAGAAGCTGATCTACAATTAAGGTATGGTGAAAAGTGACCCTGTTGCTTGGCCCAGTGGGAGATTCCTCCATTCACACAGTTTAGCGTAGATGGAGGGATCTGTTGTGCTTTTTCCATCTGACCATAGAAAATCTGCAGATAATCTATAGGTGTATGGCCAGCTTTAGTCTGAACAAGATTCCTTTAAAAGCCTGCTATGAGGCTGAAAAAAATCTGAGTTGACAGCATGTCCATGTGGAGATGAAAGTGGCCATCTAGAACTCCTAGCTGAAGCTGGTGTATCAATTTATTTGCATGACAGTCATCTCGTGTTTACCTTAAGCTTCTTTCAGATGCACTCATGTAAAACTCTTACCTTTTGTTACAAAAGCACTACACCTAATGGAAGTTGTCTTTTGCACTCTAAGCAAAAAACAACTTGCAGAGAAAAATGTATGTCATGAAAAGTCATTTACCCAAATCCCAGCCTGCAGCAGAAAATCATAACCTATTTCAGGAAACTCCTCTTTTTGGGGGGTTTGGACAACATACCAGCCACTTGTCACAATTCTCCAACAATTATCAAAACAATGATCCAACACTGAAGCCTCCAGATCCGCTTCTTTTGATTAAAGGAGGCTTTCAATGTGCAAATAGTGCTGGAGATTACCATCAGAAAAATCAAAACACCAAGCGCACAAATCCTAAAAAAAAATTAGGTTTACTGGTGATTCGCAAAAGCAACCAGGTCACTAAAATAAATATACTGTATATGATCAAATCTCCCTATAAAAGACCATAGTTAATACTCACCTCTCCAGCTGCTCGTGCTGCTGATTTCTGCTGACAGATTCCTAGTGCCCTGCTGTGCTCTGTTGCTTCTCCCACTGGGCCTATAGCACTATAGGACATGGTGTACTAGTGCAGCCAACGATTTTTTAAAAAATTCGGATAGAGGAGGGGAAAAGTAAAATCTCCAACAGCAATACAGTTTTTTAGTTGAAAATAAGGGGAAAGCTAAAACCTCAGACAGTTTTTTATTGCTGTCGAAGTCTCGACAGATTTTCCCTAACTTCCTGTCTGGTGAGGTTAAATCTCTCTAATGGAGTCTTGGATAGCTGTAAAAACCCAACAGAGTTGCTTCCCCACTATATCCAAAACTAAAAAAAAAATGGCTGGACATACACGTAATGTTTTTCAAATTAACACGGAGTTTACTTATAATAGAATAATGTACTCTCTGCAGATAGCTATAGGCCTCAGATGATTGTCTCCTGAATCTGACAATTTTTGTAAGATCAGATGATAACTAGGAATTCTGTTACCTTTGACCAGAGCATCTCTGATCTTAATGGTTGTATAAAGATGAAGCTTATCAGCCAGTTTTGTTTTTTTTAGTCAATATTCTGTCTATAATTAGCTTTAGGGCTCAAGCATTCTAATAACATCCTCCTCTTTATCCAATATATGAACTCAGAGGCTCCTAATAATAAGGCAGAGACAGTGAAGGATGAATCAGGGTGACACGTAAATTGTCAGGTGGGAAGGAATCCTCACAGAGATAAAAGCAGAGGTGTGTATAAACCACAAGCACACCTCAAGGGATATACGTAGTGACACTATTTTAAAAACATGAGCATCGGTCTTGGTATTTTTTTTTCTACAGAGAACTATTAAAAGGTATCAGTCTAAAACCAATCTGTTTTGTCATTGGACTATCCTGGTCACATATATTGCAGAGGAGTGGAACACTGGTTTGAAACTATTCCACAAACACCACTATGTCACGCTTGCTCGGAATGTCATTAACAATGCATTGTTTTGCATAAAATTCCTTTAAACAACAATGATACCATGCTGTTTGATTGCATCTCTATTTAAGTGGTGGGCAGAAAATGTTATGACTTTGTTTGGACTTAAAGTGCAACTGTACCCAGGCAATATACATTAAAACATTTACATATACTTAATAGGAAATAAGATAACTTTAAAACAGGTCCTCACTGACCTCTCTAGCTGCTTAAAGTGCAACTGAAGCCAAAACATTTACAGTTTTGGATAGCTTGTAGAGGGATTAGAACTCCTGGCAGGTTTTAGTTGCTGCCTGTGTCCCCGTTCCTCTAGATTTGTCCTGGAGACCATTATCACTGGAAGTAAAAGAAAACCCTACATTTTGGGTTGTCATCAGAACAGAAGTAGATGGGAAATCTTCCAGTGAGGATACTAGTTCTGGTGACCCTGCTGACCATCAGATTTTTCCTCTCACTTCCTGGTGTGACTATTGGACAGGGCATGAAGGGAACTCTACCCAATGGAGCTACGATGGCAACAAAAAGGTGATAACCCTCTCTTATTGTATCAAAAACGAAAATACTTTAAAGATCTTCATAGTTCACAGCAAAGGCTCTAAAGTCAGGTTTCAATTGGTTTCTAACAGCCAAGAAACACCTGTGGTGTGTTTACATTAGAGGAATGCCAGTCTGCCAATATTCTGGTGCAATAGCAAGCTAAGATTTGAATACCTCTGTTGAGAATTTCAGCTGTACTCTGCATCTGTGATTCTGTTCCTGATATCCGTTTGACCCAGCTTGATTCCTGACTCTGCTTGCTGCCTGCCTTGTGACCTTGGCTTGTCCCTGACCATTCTTCTGCCTCCTGATCTGGTACCATTCTGCTCGCAAGTGTATGACCCGGCCTGCTCCTGACTTCACTTCTGTCTCCTGCTTATGTACCACACTGACCGCAAGTTACCAATCTGACTTGTTCCTGACTACGCTTCAGCTCCTCACACCAGTGTCGTCTGATCTGCCATTGACCACCAGCTACCTCTGGCATTCAGTTGTCTGCATCAGCGTATCCAGTGTGTCAAGCAGTCATACTAGCCACAGGCACTCGTGCCCCTCACTGTCTGTACAACTGCTGTTCCATCTCCAGTGGTGCTCAGATGAGAGGTGCAAGGAAAGGCCTTCTTTGTCACTTCAGGCTCACACCAAGGTACATGACACTTGGGGTAAATGAGCCACTGGTTGAGAACCTCTGGTGTAGGCTGTTATGTACTGATAACCCCCTCTACAATATGCTTGAGTACAAGGCCTAAGGAAAGATGACAATAAAGAAGATCTCCTTGAAACACCTATGCACCCATGCTGTCCTTTCCAAGATACAGCTCTCTGAAAACTGTGTCGGAAGCTCAGTGTTACCATTACCTTTGTGCTTCTGGTTTTGGGCGTTCTACCTATTGTTTCTTCTGTTTTTATGAATGTAATTAGTCATAGCAATGTAAGTTTATGGGGCCACCATTTGGTCATAGGTTTTGCTTAAAAAGAGTATTGATGTCATAGCCACAAGTCTTTCAGTGAAATTTTCTTGTACATGAGTCTTGTGGCAATGGCAGCATACTTCAATACTGCAGGTAAGAGGGCTAACGGGTCCGTGGTAATTGTAGAGGAATGTTCACTTATCCCAGGACTGCAAACCTTTGACTTGTTTTAATTCCTGCTCATGTCACGGGACTTTTACTCTAAAAAACGTCCCTAAGTGATTGTGAGTAGCAAGGAAGATGCCATACTTAGGAACTTATGTGGAATTACAATTGCTTTGCTCTGCATTCAGAGTATGTTCAGTACATCAACCACCTGATGTGTAATTTATTAAGACAGGATCTGCGCTATGGAAGAAGAAATCAGCTGCTGTGCTAAAAAAGTGTTTATCACACCTTTAAAAATGAATATAAAAAATCCACTTTGCTCTGCTAACACAAATAAATATCCAATACTGTGACAATAATCCAAAAAGAATCACACATAACGTAATCATGAACTGTGAAAAATCAAACGAAGTTTAAAGTTACACAGCCCTGTCACAAAGTACAGCCCTGCCTGGTGATCTTGAAATTCTCCATAAAGCTAGCCATACACAGCCATATCTGCCAGATGTTTATTGTTAAGAACCTTAACCAATATGTATATATTATTTTTGTGACAAATTTTCTTTTTTTTTTTAATTTTATGAGTTTTTTACTCCATCCCTTTGTTTTCTGAACAGGGTTTGTATAGAAATTTAGCCTATTGCACGGACTCGTTAGTGTCCCTGTTTTGAGCACTTGAAATATCAGCTGGTGTTTTTGCTAAGTGATTGTGCAATATGGCAGATGTTAAATGTAACCTGATTCAAAACAGATAATATGAACAAGAACAAAGTTTTGCGGATTTTCTCTGGACTTGTAGTTAATATTTCACAACAGGAAGCACAGATGTGTAATATACTATTGCATTTCTTACAGGAAAATCCCCAATTCATTTACCCATTTATTCTGCACTGACATGTTAAGGGTAACCATAGTCAGCCTGATAAACACAAGCAATGCTCCTGACTCCAGCATGGTTTGCAACGCACAGCCTGTTTTTGAGCTCACTTTGCGGGCAATTCCAAGCATTACCCGATGAGTCCTCCTGACACTGGTTTATGAAAGAAGGCCTGTCCAGGCTGCTGTAGCAGTCAATGAAGATTCTCTTCTGGCTCCCCTCTCCTTGCAGCTTTCAAAGCAGGGGAGAGAAAGAACAGTCTTAGCAGGCAGGGAATAATGATCTTCCAAAGCTGCAAGCTGGAGGGTGCTAAACATATTATGGCATTTGAAACAGAACAACCAATGTATCCAGGTATAATTGTTCCCCAAGGGTAGGCAAATATCTCCACCTGTTGCTGGGCCAGTTTTCGGCATCCTTGGAGTGCCATGTTTTCCATTACAATACTTCTGTTTTATTGGCTATTTCTTATCAACACCTTTACAAAGTACAGTATGTGTAAAACATGAATTCAAATTCATCGTAGCATTATTTCAGTGAGCTGTAATGGTACCAACAAGTTTCTCGACATCTGTATGTTTCCATTGTCATGTGTTTTTATTGGCTGAAGGACCTTTATTTCTCAATGCAGCTGAAACTCAATGGCACTGCCACGCCCCCTCCTGCCCCTGAATGCAGGGAGCCGGCCGTCTAGCATTCCAGTGTGTTCTAGAGGCCGAACACTCTGGAACACAGACTTTGTTGTATGAACCGGCCCTAAATTGGTCCTGTATGTATGCGTGTACAATAGGGACCTTAGATTGTAAACTGTTTGAGGGTAGGGACTGATGTGAATGTGCCGTATGGAAAGTGCTGCATAAATTGTCAGCGCTAAATAATTAGACACTTGTGCTGTTTTCAGAAATACTCCATATATGTATGTTACTCATTGTCAGTAAAACCGATGAGGCCCATGATAGAGCACAAGAAGCGTTTCTATCACACTACAGTGTCACATGATTGCTGACCAATCAGAGATTCCCTGTTTGATGCCCAGCAAGATCTTTTAGACTTTAGTTTGAATCGGGAGCAAGCATCTCAGGACAAATGGGGCTAGTGTCTACTTTTTTCTGATCTTAGGGGGAATTTGAGATATATAAACCATACTATATCCAGGGCAGCCTTCAGAAATTTCTGGGCCCCTTACACGGCTTTAGGCCGGCCCCCCCCCACACTGTTATTATTATACATATATACCGCACAGAGAACACTGAGCCAGTCACGTCAGCCCATGTACAGAGGAGCTTACACTTACACACATAAAAAATGTCCCCCTCTCCTGCTTACCTGTCCTATGAACTGTTTCCCTAGTTTTTTTGACGGCACCTTGAGGCGGATATTTTTGGTGGAGAGCCAAACCATTTGACCTATTTGGTAGTTAGGAGGAGGCCTTCTTTTGAGGCCATAGTAATATTTCTGGCGATCCTGCGCAACTTTTAAGTTGTCTTTCAGAATTTCAGCAGTAGTTCGAAGATTAGACATGTAATTTTCCGCTGAAGGAACGTTGGCAGGGATCACTGACGAGGGAAACTGGGTCGGATGGAAACCGTAATTAGCGAAGAAGGGAGTACGGAGACTGGATGAGCTGGTGGTGTTATTATATGAGAATTCCGCGAGAGGGATCAAGTCATACCAATCGTCTTGCAGGTGGGTACAGTAGCATCTGAGATACTGCTCAAGACATTGGTTGACGCGTTCAGTCTGACCGTTCGTTTGAGGATGGTAGGCGCTGGAGAGCCTATGATCTATCTGAAGTGAAGAACAAAGAGCCTTCCAGAAGCGGGAGACGAACTGGGATCCTCTGTCGGAGATAATTCGGTTTGGCAGTCCATGTAATCTGAGTACGTGGTTCAAAAAGGACTGTGCAGTCTGTCGAGCAGTAGGAACTGATCTTAGTGGAATGAAATGAGCCATTTTTGACAAAGCGTCGACCGTAACCATTATTGTGGTGTGTCCTTTAGATGCCGGCAAATCTACTATAAAATCAAAAGAGATGGTTTCCCAGGGTCTATTCGGAATGGGCAAAGAGGTGAGTAATCCATATGGAGGTTTGCGTTCATGTTTACAGCTGGCACAGACTTCACAGGTGGCTACATATTCCTGTACCATCTTGGTCATGTGCGGCCACCAGAATTGTCTCTTGATGAGATCAAGGGTTTTTTCCATACCCGGGTGACCCGCCAGGGGAGCATCATGTAGTAGTTGGAGTACGGGAATTCGCATATCAGGAGGGATGTATAACTTTGTGTCTTTGAAGAAAAACCCCTCTTCGTCCCTATGGAGTCCTTGAGAGGGTACGGACGGATCTGTGGTTAGGCTATTTTTCAGTTTTTGTCTTTGAAGCTTATGATAGCAGCGAGGAATCTGTGTGGAGGAATGACTGAGACAGGAGGAGGTTCGGTCCTACACTCCTCTCCCATGCGAGAAAGTGCGTCAGCTTTACTGTTTTTGGATCCTGGCCGGAAAGAGATATGGAAATCA